ACCAATTCTAAACGGTTCTGTTCTGAAAACCCCATTCTATAATCCATTACAGGATCTATACAACAACCCTGTTATAACCATGTGGATAATCAAAACCTGAAAAAAATCAACCCAAAGAATTTACAAAAAAATAAAAGCAAATACTGAAACAAATCCAGACACTTTACCCCTCCAAGAACAATTATATTTCACCAAAAAATACATTTTTGCCACATCAAATGTACTAAGAAAAAGGGGCTATTTTAAGGTGAAGGACAAAATATTGTTGACCTACCCGGATTTCCTGGAGATTATGAAAATTATTTCCCACTCTGACAGAGATTTTGCTTGGAGTGTAGCTTTCATCAGACTTGTAGTCTGCATAGATACATAATGTCTTCACTGTTGTTTTTCTTCTGCAAGAAACAACAGAAATGTGTAAGCAACCCGAAGAAAGACATTCAGGAAGTGCCTGTTGCTATAACACAGTATGAGAGTCTACTGATAAATAAGAACCTTACTGTTAAGGCAACAGGTGTGTTTGCACATGGAGTAATGCGCACATTAGAACTGCACCAACATCTTTTGTCTGTCTTCATAAAGGTCATAATACAAAGAATTACAACAAAAGGGCAAGATGCCATATGAATACTTCTATGTGATGAAACACATGCTTGGTTTACCAAGCATGGGCTCTAATACGATACCAAAATGCGACTCTGCATCTTACGAGTTTGGTTAAAAGACTGAAAACATCCTAAAGCCAATCTTGTCAACCAAGCAAAATAGAAAAATAAAAGGTTTTTCAGATCATCAGCTGCTAAATGCAGGACTGCTTTAAAAACAGACAACTACCTTCGAATTACACTCAATGACAGAAAAAGTTAGGACCTTATATAGGTAAATGCAAAACTGCTACAAATGATCTACTACTAACGATTCCTTTTTGTTGCTCATTTAGGAATTTAACAGCCGTAACATCATTTCATATACTCTTCTTTATAAATGCTTTTCAACTGGCCTTTTGCCAGTGAGGTAATACAGGATTACTTCAGGAGCCCCTGCACTTCCAAAACTCCAGTCCTGGTGAATAGACATTGACATGAAGTTATACAAAATGGTCTAAGTCATAAAGAGACATTTTTATTACCTAAATTGGATGTTCACCAGATGAGGCTGCGATCCATCCGACTGCCAGTAAGTTTCTAGATTATCATCTCGTAACTGATCCACTCCAAATCCTAAGAAAAAGAGAACAAGACAGTCTTGAATATTCTTGTTATTTGTGATGCCAACATTACTTTTTTTTTTAACAGCAGTTACAAGTTGAAAGATGTTTTCTCAGCTTTAAGGAAATATTTCCAAATATTCAATCTGTACTCTTGACAAAACTAAAACAAGAGTCTGCCAACAAAAGCGCAGTACTGGAGTGCCCTCACATAATCGCCTATTGAGGTCTGCAGGATTTTTAATTATTCAACATATTGTCAAATTCCAAACAGTAGGAATGAATTCATAGCAAATGCAAGAACAATGCTTAAGAGTTCCATGTCTCTACATATTCTATAACCAAACTGCTGAACTAAATGAAAATCATCGAGACCATTCCATTACTAGAAAATTTTAGTGGAAGTAGTATTTTCTTCACAAGTTGCTTCTTGAAATATTTTTACAAGCTAATGCCATGGGTTTTTTTTTTCTTTAAATGTTACAGATTTTTTCCATTCTTTCATCGTCCTTCTATTCATCACACCATTTTAACAATTGCTCACACAAGCTACAGTTTTAATTCAGCAGTCTAAGTTCTACCAGCAATAAAATAAAAAAATCCCATTATTCTCCTTAAGTAACCACGCAATAAAATATTTTTCTCCAAAGATACCAGGACACCAGACCAACAGGGTTCAGCCTGAGCACAACATTAAGACAAAGTAATCATTGATTCTAGGGTGTAGGAAGATAACAGATCAGTTCCCAACAGATGTTCCTGGAATAGCAACTTAATCACTCTGAGTGAAGAGAACATGGATTTTCAGATTTGTAGAGGATACAGTTATAAAACTTCCAAATTGCCTCAAGTATGAACAAGGCCAAAATTACTTACAGTGATATTTCCCCATACATCAGATCTGTTGTTATAAGTTGTATTGACAATTTCTTATGAAAACATACAACGTTACACTAAATAACAAAGTTTATATTTAATTCTTACATCAATTGTTGTGATTATACCTGGTTTACAAGATGAAAGCGACCAAACTGCTTGTGAGCCTATTTCTCTTACAGTACCCGTCCTCTCTAACTGCTTTGGATCAGCACCAGGTGGTGTCTTGTTTGGGGTAGTCATTTCTAATTAAAAAAATGAAGTTAGTTACATTTTTAGCATGATTAAAAAAAAAAAACACATACGGACCAAATTTGCTCATATAGAAGCATTAATCCTGTGGCCTTACATTCATGTAAATGATCTACTTTAAAGACTACTGTAGACATGTATCACGCTAATACATACAGTTCCACACAGATGCAAAAATCTGCACCTCAGTTTGATGTGCACCGAAAACATTCGGAAGGTATTTTACTTACGTCACTCTTTTCACACAAACTGAGTTAGTTTCAGGTTTGGGGGTTTTTTTGCTGTTGTTGTTTGTCTGGTGTTTTGTTTTTAAAAAAATGAAAATAAGCCCTGTTGATTTATATGTTAGCACCACAACTTCACTTAAATGGAAGCGGGGAAGGGAAGACATCTTAATCTGCACATTCAGAAGCCAAAGCAAGTCTGTCCTCCTAAAGATACTTCTTCAAAACAAGAAGGGATAGTTTAAACAAATCGTGTAGTCCTTAATTTAACAGAGGTTAATTATTGCCACACGCATCCAGAGGAAATTCCCCTCAACTTCCCTTCGCCTGCAATCACTGAGCTGTGACTTGCACTGCTCAAGTCATCACATTCACTTTCACACCCCCACTCCTGACTGCTGCCCTACACAGACCAGACGCTACTCTTCACATCATACAGAGCACCTTTACTACCTCCTGCGCAATGCCTTAAAAGCCTTCTGTCTATTAAAAAAAGGATTCCAAACAAATTAGCCCCATGCAAACAATTACAATAAAAGCCTAGAATTAAACACGAAGCACCGAAGAGTCAGGGAAACAGACTCGAATTCCAATCCTTTGCTCACTCACACACGTGACGAGGAAAGCGAAGTCAAGGACGAGTGTTCCAGTACCCCTGCCACACACGGGATGAGATGCGCCCTCACACCCCGAGGAACGAACGAACGCCCCGCCAAGCAGCCCGCGCGGTCCCCAAACGGAAAAGCCCCACCGAGGAACCGCGACCGCACCTGAGCATCAGCACGGCGGGAGCAGAAGGGAGCGGGAGCCGGCAATCGGGGCCGTCAGCTCCGGCAGCGGGCCGGCTCCGACCGTTCAACGGCCGCGCACGCGCCAAGCGATTTAAATACGGGGGCGGGAAACGGGTGCCCGCGTGCGGCCGGCGGGGAGAGGCGGCACGCGCGGCCCTGCGCTAATACGGCGCTGGGGGAGCCGGGCTCCCTTAGAACCGGGAGCGCGGGCACTCCGCTGACGTCAGGCGCCGCTCCGGCCGGCGTCACTCGGTGATGACGCCATCAACGGGCGCGTCGCCGCGCCCCGCCCCGCCCCGCCCCTTCCCTCCCGCAGGCGCCGCTCTGTCCCTGCCCCGCTCCCGTCCTTCCTCTCTCTCTATGGTGCTCCGCGCAGGCCCCGCCCTGCGGGGGAGGCGGCCATCTTGGCCGGGTGGCGGCGGGAGCACGTTGTGCCGGACCGCGCTCGGCAGCTGCGGCGGCCGCTGAGCCCGGTCCGGAAGCTGGACCCCGTTTGTCGGTAAGCGGGCCGCGGGGAGGAGGGAGGGCGAGTCCGCGGCCCCGTACGGAGCTCGGGGAAGCGGCGCGGCCCTCTCCCCGTGCCGATGGCTCGGCTTTCGGCGCCGGGCCCGGCCGCGGCCCCTTCCTGTGGCACCGCGGCCCCCGGTCCGGCCGCGCTGCGGGTCCGGCCGCGCTGCAGCCGCTTTCTGAGGGAGCCGCCGTGCGGCACAGCGATGCGGATCCGTGCGCAGCCCCGCGGCCGAGCCGGGCCGAAAAAGCCGCCCGGGGGGAGGAGGGAGGGCTGGGCGGCGGGGCTGGCGCTGCTCGGGGAGACAGCCGGGCTCACCGGCAGAAAGTTCACCCGGTGTACGGCTGCCTGCTTGCGTGGCAGAGACCGAGACTCCTTTAAGGCAGCGATAACTCGATTGCCATCTTGACGAGGTAAAAGGGTTAGGATGCACCTCGCAAGTCGAGTTCTAAAAATCAGAAGCGAAGAGGGCATTTCTCTGGGCCCGCAGCAGCACTTGCTCTCCGCCATGCTAAAAAAAAAGAAAAAGAAAAATCGCTTCTGTAATTTTCCTGTGTGCTGATTGCAGTACCTGGGTTTATGCCTTTTGCTTCATGTTGAAGGAAAATATGAAAGATGGAGAGATAATGACCGCGGCTCAGCACAGCTGAGCACACCCACTCGCTGTGCTGCGTCAGTGCGTTTGACCAGACGCTTTTCATGTTCACGTTGCATTTATTTTCATATTCGTGCCGTGCCTTGTGAGCAGCGTGACGAGTTAAGTACAGTCATTAAGTCTGGGGCTTGTTAAACCTCTTGTACAACGTCAGCTCAGATTCTAAAACGTCAAAACCTGAAGCATAGGCTGGTTTGTAATTGTTAGCGTACACTGGTGGTCTTGTGCCGTTTCCCACTGCTTCTGCTTTCACACTAACAAACGTAGTGATCCCGCACATGCAGACTCTTTGTGTTTAATATCAAGTCACTTGGGGTGTTTTGACTAACTTTTTCTTCTTGTGGAGTCACTGAATGTGATCTGTTAGCAGCGAATCAAGAAAGAATTCTTGAAGCTCATTACTTCCAGAGGAAAGTGTGAATGCTCTCATCCTCTTTCTTTCCGCTGTGTTTAGTTTACACGTGATGCAGTGTAATTTCATAAAAGTATTAACTCTTTTTTTTTTTTCTGCAGAGTAACTGATATGACTCAATTCTGAACACAGATCTCTCCTTTGTAGCACTTAATTGAATCAACTCTAGCTATCTTTCAGTCTTCACTTGTAACTTTTATTAGTGCTTGTATGTTCTGTGTAATTCAAAGCAATTACAAATCCTTCCCTGTCATTCTAACATGACAGTTCTATTATGAGTAATGCCTGTGACAGAAGAAATAAATAATGGTGTATCAAAGATCATAAGAACATTGACTTGAAATGCTTGTGTTAACATTTTTATGTGTCTTAGTTTTAGACACTTTTCTGGTAAGTGACATAACTGGACTTAGTTTGCAGCATGTGGCTTCAATAAATTATACTGGCAAGGTATTGAAAACTCTTTTGTTAGTAGTTGTCACTCTTTATCATTCTTTCACCTGCACCTTCAGTCCATAGTTCTGGCAGAATTTGCTGATCCAAAATAACCACTCTATAGTTAGTAGCAGATAAATGTTTTTGTGCTCTGTCTTCAGTTCTGTTCTTGATTTGGAAAGCAGAAACACAGATCTGAACTTAAGTGCTTCTGAATACCAGTTCCTCCTGCTGACTGTACCTAGCAATTAATGCTGTGCTGAACTCTACCACATGCATCCCATATTTGTTGCTGACTTGTGTTTTGAGAGTTCACTGTTTGCACCTTGAAATCAGACAGTCCTGTTTGATGCATTAAACTAAACACTACTGAGGTAATGGCACATGAGCATGTAACCTGAGTTCAGTCTGGTTTTGGACACCTATTTAATCTGCTTTAAACTAGCAGTTCTGAGTAGAATTATCTTTTTTGTCTCTTCTGGGTAGCAATCATTGTAGACATCAGGACAGTCCTGGCGATGTTGTGGAAGTGACAGATATTCATTTCTGAAAATGGTTTCATACCACCATAGAGTTTTGAATAAACTGGTGCTTCATTGTGTAGATGGGAGCAGGAATGCCTGATCCTACATCTCCATACTGGCTTTGTAGTTCTGTTTCTCCCTCCCACCCCCAGTACTCTTCGCACACTTACATCTCTGACTTTGAGGCAATTCGAAACTCTTCACTGCAGGTGGTTATTTTCACATATTGTGGCATTAGAAAAAAAAGAATTGCAAGGCTGTTGTATTACTTAAGAACCAAGGTCTGATTCAGCAATGATCCTGTTCAGACTTCAGTGTAATTTTCCCACCAAGATTAGAATCATAGAATGGCCCGGGGATTAGAATCATAGAATCATAGAATGGCCTGGGTTGAAAAGGACCACAACAATCATCCAGTTCCAACCCCCCTGCTATGTGCAGAGTGGCCAACCACCAGGCCAGGCTGCCCAGAGCCACATCCAGCCTGGCCTTGAATGCATCCAAGGATGGGGCATCCACAACCTCCTTGGGCAACCTGTTCCAGCGTGTCACCACCCTCTGTGTGAAAAATTAGGTGGAAAGCTTGTTGAAGTAAATGGCATAAACTAAGTGTTTGAAGCCGTTTCGGTGCGCTCTTTTAGAGGGACTCACTCCCGTGTCCTCCTCTGTTGCTAAATTTAAGCTAAGCACCAGACTGGAAAGGTGGAAAGTGCAGAAAGTCTGTCTGGCCTGCTAATCTGTATTGCCCAGATGCAAACATCTACCACAGGTTAGGGAGGTTGGGCAGGGAAAGCAAGCTCCTGAACTACAGTGCTTTGTCTGCTGGAGCTTGCTCTTATAACCTGTAGAAATAGCTGTATGTGTAGTTAGAGATAAGGTGACTAGGGAGGAAAGCCCTGCCCAGGAGGTAGACAGTGTGGTCTGCCTGCTCAAAGTCCTTAGCCACACAGGCTTTTTTGGAAGAAGGACTCACCCAGGTGGGGCATTTCCCTTGGGAAGCTGTAGAGAGAGTAAGTATTTCACCTCTGGATACTCTGCACGTTGCTGACAGAACTTTCATTAAAAAGCAGTAGAATGTATTCCTGATGAAGGTATCTTTCTCTTCATCGAAACGCAGGCAAAATCCATTATCTCAGTTGCCTAGAAAATTGTCAAACATCGTTAGAATTTGTAATAATAAACTTCATGTTTCTTGTTTTCTTATGTAAGAAAAATGTATTGAAGTTAGAATTGCAAACCCTTTGTTCCATGCCTACAATGAATGTATCAGCCACTGGACTATGGAATGAGTTTTATTTGTTTTTTTTAACATTCAGTCGTTAATAACATCAGTGATATCATTAAGATTTACTTTTTGGCTCTTAAGAAGTTAAAATATTAAAGAAAAAATAGAGATACTGAAATAAGCGACAGCCACAAGAAGGTTGGAGGCATGACTAAACAACTGCATTCATTTGTATCTGATGAGAGCATCTTTAGCCATTAAAATACTTCGGGAATTCAGAACAGGAGTAAGGCTATGACTTCTGAAAGGAAGCGCTGAAAATATTCATGATAATAATGGACTTAAAGATTCAATAACATCTTAATTTCTTATCTCTGCTCCGCGTAAGGTGCCACTCAGTTTCTTCATTCATATTAATAGTATCTGTAGGGTTCTTTCTAACTGAAGCTCTTAGTGAAGAATAAGGTTAAATGTAATAAATATGCCATACACCTATTTTTTTATATGCCATACACCTATTTTATTCTTGCTTTCTTTAGAAGGCTGAAACTCACAACTTTTCATTAAAAGCCATATGTAGTAAATAGCCTGCAAAGCTTTAGTTTGGAGGGACAAAGATATACTGGACATCCAATAGAAGACAGTTCTTTTCATAAGAAATATTGAAATCCTTTTCCTGGAAGGATTGTGCAGGTTGCATGGAAATTAGAAGACAGTTAGTCTTCATGCCACTGACACAAAGCACAGGATATTTAGTTCTTGCTATTATATGCTTTTCTAGGAAGCAAATGCATTCTCAGATATAATTGCAATTTTATTTTACAATCGAGAAATTGGAGAGGAATGGAAAAGCAAATTTTAAAACCTAAGCCATTACATCAGTATCCTTTCCACTTGTATCCGAGTGTATTTGCCCTGATTGCTGTCTGTTTTTAACACAGGGAAAAATTATATTTTGATTTTTTTTTGTCTCCGAATCCTGCTAGGAATAAACTTGAGATGTGTACTGTCTCCCCTGTGCTGTCAGTAACTCTGTTCTGTTTTTTGTTTTTTTTTCCTTAAGATCTGGAAGACAGATCACCCTCATAATTGGTGAATGCGTGTAACCATCAACCGTGCATTATGGCAGACAAATTAACAAGAATTGCTATTGTCAACCATGACAAGTGTAAGCCAAAGAAATGCCGTCAGGAATGCAAAAAGAGTTGTCCTGTGGTTCGAATGGGTAAGAGATGTATCTTAGCAAAGTATTTAAGCACTTCGGGAAGTTTGAAGTAATGTTCAGTGAGAATGAGCCAGGGTGTTGGGCTTTTTGTTCTTTGTTGTATGAAGACTGTAAAAGTTGAACTTTCATCATTGAAAGCATGAGCAATTCATAGCAGTAATGCCAATTTTGAAGCCTTCAAATGATTTAAAGCTGCTGTGGCTCTTGGTAGGATCATATCATTGAATAGCTTGGGTTGGAAAGGATCTGTGAAATCACTGACTTCCAACCCTTGCCATGAGCAGGAACACTTCCTGCTAGACTAGGTTGCCCAGGGCCCCTTCCAGCCTGGATGTGAGCACTTCCAGGGATGGGTCATCCACAGCTTTTCAGAGCAACCTCGTCCAGTGCCTCACCACCCTCACCATGAAGAATTTCTTCCTAATATTTGACTATGTGTTCTTCTTTGGACTTTAGTAGTACTAGTAAGAAATAGGATACGTCAGAAACTTTCTTGAGTTAATGTTATTCTTTATCACCAGGAAAACTTTGCATAGAAGTCTCACCACAGAGCAAAATAGCATGGATCTCTGAAACACTTTGTATTGGTTGTGGGATTTGCATCAAGGTAAAAGTTTATCTGCTTTATATAAAGTGATCATATTATTATGCTAATATTACACTACATTACTATGCAGACAGTAACTTCACAAAGTGATTTTGTTTCCCTGAATAATCAGACCTTGTTAACTGTTACTGTTAAAATTAAGTACTGTGGTAGGTTACTGAACTGGTGAGGCTGGATATGTAGGCTGTATCATTTTGTTTATAATTTCGTTTTGGGGTGGTTGGGAGTTTGGCTGGTTGGCTGGCTGGTTTTGGTGGTGGTTTTCTTTGTTTTGGTGGGTTTTTTTTCTGTTGTTGTGTGTCTTCGTGGGTTGTTTTTGTAACAGTAGGCACCAAACAATCTCTTTTGTAAGAGAGCTATTGCATGTATGCTGTTTAACTTCTGTCATTGACTGAGTCTATATTGCTGCTTTAATTTGAAAAGTGTGCTATAGTCTTTCTTTGGAGAAAGTTGACTAAGTAAATGACAGTGAAGTAGCTTTTTGACAGAATATCCCAAGTTGGAAGGGACCCATAGGGATCATCGAGTCAAACTCCTGATTGTAGTATGAAAGTCTGTAAACTCCAGTCATTAAACTGCTGAAAAAAGTCATTGACATAGCCTGTAAATGGTTTGGTGTAATTTACTGAGAAGCAAAAAATCTTTAACTGGTGCAATGTAGCCAGTCTTCTTTTTGTGAAAGTTCTTTTTTGAAAAAAAAAAAAATTAAGCACCAGTTAGCTGTGCAGTACCAAAAATAAGAATTCCGGTAGTAAATTGTTTGTGTGCACAAGCAATATAATACATAAATATGTTTAAATTACAGAAATGTCCTTTTGGAGCCTTGTCAATTGTTAACTTACCGAGCAACCTGGAGAAAGAAACAACACACAGATACTGTGCCAATGCCTTCAAACTTCACAGGTATTTTATTTTCCAGACCAATGTAAAAGACAAAGCTTTTCAAGATTTTGTTAGTCTAAACTAGGAGTTCATATCCAGCTGTTCACGGTTATTGGCTCAGTAGCTTCATTTTTGGATGCTAATGACTGTTTTTCTTATTTAAAAATACGGTAGTGAAATTAAATGTAAGTGCTTATTTTACAGAACAAATGTTCCTGATTAAAAACCAAACGGTTTTTAATTTTTGCTGCACCATGTACTGTCAGATTAACAGTGTAGGTTTAAATAATCAGCAAGTCTGAAAACAGGTTTGTAGCATTTTCTTCACTTCTGAATCTTGGTGTGTGACAGCATTAAATCAATTAACCCAAAGTTATCGATGTCGCATGCAGGTTGCCTATCCCTCGTCCAGGTGAAGTCCTGGGTTTGGTTGGAACCAATGGTATTGGAAAATCAACTGCCTTGAAAATTCTAGCAGGAAAGCAGAAGCCAAATCTTGGAAAATATGATGTATGTATCAGCAATAAAATAGAATTGGCATTATAGATAGCTGTTGTTATGCAATTTCATCAAATGTTCCTGTATAGGAATGTGGTAAATTTGGAAGGACAGTGGAGCTTTACCTCTTTAGAGCCCACAGGATCTAACTCCACCCAGAAACAATAGTAGAAGGATGTTTATTACAGCACCAAGTATTCTTCAGGCTTTTTTTTCTTTGATTCTTTTAAAGATTTCTTATTACAAAAAATGTGGTTATTGTTAATTGTTGATGAGGACGTTTCCAACTGTACACTTCAATACTATGTTCTGAAAATCCTTAGTTTCTTCACGTTGCCAAATGCTTAGACATTTTGATAGTCTGCTGGCCACAAGCAGCCAGCCTGGAAAATAATTTACAAGACTTTAACTAACGCTACACCAAAAGGCATGTTATTGTAGAAAAGGCAGTCACTACTGTGACTCTTCTTATCAGACAGTATTTCAGTTATCGCCTTCCCTGCTTCACATCACCTTGTGATGTCTATTGAACCTCTATTTGTCTGTTTCTTTATCTGAAAGAATATCATTTTAATTAATCATCCGTTTTATGACTGCCACTTGAAACTACAAAGAAGTAACAACTTTCCAGCTGTATCTTCCATCCTTATTTAAGTTTGGTTTATATTATTTTGTGGACTTCTTGTTTCAGGTGGTAGATTGCAGCAATAGCAAAACTTTTGACCCTTTGAATGTAGTTAATTGAATTGTCATGCTTCCAAAATCAGACTGTCCATTGAAGAGCCAAATCATTATGACCACAGAAACACATGGTATAAATTGAATCCTACATGCTGCTTCTGCTCTAAAATTTAGGAAGCATTTCCTCTGCGTGTTTTTCTTGGCTTGGAAATACAGTTGCATTACCCTGTTTTTGTAACTGTGTTAACCATCAAAATAATTAATTTAGCATCATTGAAAGTAGTAACGCTATGCAAAATTACACTGTTCAGATTAAGTTTTTTCCCTCGGGTGATTGGTCTGAACAGTTTTGTTTATTATTTGAGGTGTTGGGTTTTTCTTGGTTTTCCTTTTTCCTCTTCTTTCCTTGGAAATGTCTGTAAGCAGAGAAGATGACCAGTTTTTATTGCATCTTCTGTGCAAGTTGATTTTATCAGTTTAGTTCCTTTCCTTTGGATTAGCTGCGTCAGCTAGCAAATACATTCCTTTACAGTAATCCACACCATTATTTTGCCCTGCGACGTAGTTTCACTCACACATCTTAATTGTCCAGGTGCAAATGTAAGGTGCTTTTCTTGAGAGAGGTACTGGCAGTGCACCTTAAACAAAAATAAATCTCAACTCTTTTCCATTTTGCAGTTGGTTTGTTTTGTTCTTAACAGCAACTTTGCAGAGGCAACAAAATAATTTAGGGACTAGCTTTTTATCCAGGTCTTGTTTTGTTTTTTCAGTCTTGCAAGCATATTCCATTTGCTGTGTTGGTTGGCATTTTAAAATCGTACCACCTAAAATACACCATCAGAAATGTCTTAAATAAAAATGGGCTTTAATTTTGTCACAGGATCCACCTGACTGGCAAGAAATTTTGACTTATTTCCGAGGTTCTGAATTACAAAATTATTTCACCAAGATCCTGGAAGATGACTTAAAGGCTATCATTAAGCCTCAGTACGTGGACCAGATCCCTAAAGCTGCAAAGGTAAGAAATGTCATTACTTAATGGAAAATTAGCTTCTCCTGAGATGCTTCTTATTATTTAAAGATTTTGTTAATGTGAAAAACTCACTAGTCTCTGCAAAAATTAATCTTGATATAGCATTGTTGGGTTATCTGTACTGCTTATCTTTTAGGGAACGGTGGGATCAATTCTGGATAGAAAGGATGAAACAAAGACACAAACTGTTGTATGTCAGCAGCTTGGTAAGTAATTTTGCAAAATCAGTATTTATACTGAGGAAAAAAAAAAAGTTGCTGCAGATGTAATGGTTTAAATTCTATCATTTTTTTAAAATATATATATATAAAATGTAAATGTACTTTGGTAGAAAGCTTAGGTCTTGCTGTAAGTACCACCTGAACCAGTAATACCTGTTAGTGTCAAAGGAAAGCTAATAGATATGTTCTAATCAACAGAATCAAATGCAGTTTCTCTTTCATGGTAGAACATGTTTATTTTAAAACTGGAAAAATTCCAGTTACCATCTGCTGTTCTTGCTTGCTTAGAACTCAGTCAAAATCTTAGCATCTCCTATGGTGAGAAGCATTGCATGTAGAAAATACTATGCAAGCATGTAAAAATTCTTATTCAAAAAGTTGTGTGTAAGTAATTCTAGCGGGAGTAATATCCTGGTTTCTGAGAATAATATAATTAATAAGAACATCTGCACAGTCCAGCCTGAATAATTTTTGTACATTTTGAATTCAGTTGTTAACTAAACTGAGGTGTTAATTTAGGTGTTGCAAAACTAAGATCAAGATTCTTTTTGGTAGACCTGGGTAGTGAAGGTGGGCTAAGTTGTACTGCCAGAAATGTGGTCTGTGGCAAGAAAACAACTGGCTTTACCCATTCACTAATGTCTGGAGAACTGGCTTGTCCTGCAAATAAGAACTTTTCAATAAGGTCTCACAAGAAGTGATTGTAAAAACGGTGTACTTTCTACTTAGAGACCGAAATCTTCAGTAAATATGTGGTAGAAAAGCAAACAGGAATGTAATCTTTATGCCTGTTAGGAAGCAGCCATACAAATGAATCAGCTATTGTTGCAGGGAAGTCATTACGTGCTGTGACTCCTGTGAATAGTATTATGATGATTCTGTATCAACTTACTTACTTTACTTCTCTCTGTTTTTTTCCTCTGTGTAGGATGTCTGCTGTGATTATACATGTTTACATAGGTAATAAGCGTATGAATTGTTTGGTATAACATATCTAAAATTAGACTCTTATTTGCAGACTTAACCCATCTGAAAGAAAGAAATGTTGAGGACCTTTCAGGAGGAGAGCTTCAGAGATTTGCTTGTGCAGTTGTTTGCATTCAGAAGGCTGATATGTATGTTTAATTTACTTCTATTACCCATTGCTTCTACTAACCTGTCTCAGAGTGTGTCCTTTAATGTTAATGAAATAAACATTAGAAACAAGCAAGAAATATTTGAACAAAAGATTGATTGATTTTTACGCTTTGGCCAATTTGGCACCTTGGATCTATTTTTCTTTCATATGTAGTATGTTTTTTGTTTTGTTTCTAATTTGTCTGACCAAAAATATCTAATTTCAGAGAGGTAGCTATTTGTCAGTGTACCTCAATCATCTCTGAGTAACAAATGGACAGAAAAGAGATCCTTCCCCACTTTTGGGAAGTTGTTTCCCTCTTCCTCTATATTGCAGCCAGGAAATACAGGCTATGTCTACTCTGTGCTGTTACTTGACTCCTTGGATCAAGAAAGCGAGATCATAAGACTGCATTTTCTGGCTTTTATTTTGTTGTTATTTTGATTTGATCTAAGGGGAGATGATGTCTTTGTTCCAGTCTCCTACAATTGGTGGATTTGCACTTCCTGTTAAATTTAAGATGAATCAAAACTGAGTGCATGGGATTCTTAACTGATTGGTGACTTCTTGTAACATAACCTTTTCAGAGCTTTAACAATTTCATGTTATACTAACCAAAGATTTAAGGCAAGTGTCAGTAAACAATTTTCATTTTTACTCTCCCTTATAGAAGTAATATGAATTTTTATTTGTGTGTTTAGTGGTTGAAATGCTAGTATTAAATTTGAATATGTTGAAAGCTTACCTTCTCATAAAATATTACTCTTTCTTTTGGGGTTAGCTTTATGTTTGATGAGCCTTCGAGCTACCTGGATGTCAAGCAGCGCTTGAAAGCTGCCATTACTATTCGATCCCTAATAAACCCTGACAGGTAAGTATAACCTTGAAATGTTGTTCTAGTCTATAATAGTAGTCAACTGTACAGAATTAAAAAAAAAAAAAAGCCACTCCATCTCCCTCGAAGTGTGAACTTCTCAGTATGGTACATTAATAGATGTTTAAAGTATTCCAAGCCAGTAATATCTTAAGTTTTCACGTTGGAGATGTCCTGTAGTTTCTGTAGTTAATGTTTCAGCATTTTGTACTAAGTACGTGAAAATATTGATAGTTTGTGTGTGTGCAAGACTACATAAGCGTATTTGGGGTTGAAGTATAAAACACTCTGACTGCTTTTTTTCAGGTACATTATCGTTGTAGAGCATGATCTAAGCGTGTTAGATTATCTCTCTGACTTTATCTGCTGCCTGTATGGTGTGCCAAGTGCTTACGGTGTTGTCACTATGCCTTTCAGCGTAAGAGAAGGTAATTCTTGCCATATTTTACTACTTAAACCTACAAAAATTCTGCGGAAGAAAAAATATTTAAGAAAAGAATGTTAATGTGTATTCTTTCTGTTCTGTAGTTCTTTGGCAACTAAAAAATTACTATTCTGTACAGAAGTTCCTTTTTTTTTTTTTTTTTTTTGTTAGGCATTTTTAATTCCCTTTCTCTCTTTGTAGGCATAAACATCTTTTTAGATGGCTATGTTCCCACTGAAAATCTGAGGTTTCGAGATGCATCTCTGGTGTTTAAAGTGGCTGAAACAGCTAATGAAGAAGAGGTTAAAAAGATGTGTATGTACAAATATCCAGGAATGAAAAAAAAGATGGGAGAATTTGAACTATCCATAGTAGCTGGAGAATTTACAGATTCTGAAATCATGGTGATGTTAGGGGAAAACGGTAAGTGGAATTCTTGTTAGAAATTATTCCAACAACCCTTTGCCCCTAAAGCCTTTCTGGAATCAGGGGGCCAAGCTGCTAAATGATTGTTTTTAAGTCAAGTTGAATGCTCGTTTCCTAGTGAAGATGTGCCATGAGCTTGCTGTATAAATAATGGAACTTGAAGTTACTTGAATGTTAAGAATACCCTTATTTTATTTGTTATCCCATTTTAAGGACTCAAAGGGGCAGGATGATTATTGAGCTGGCGAGCTTAGCCATGCATCTATACTGCTGTAGCTTTAAATGTCTTTTTGATTTGAAAACCAATAGCAAGTACTGCTTGCTTAAACTAAATATAGGAATACTCAGCAGTTTCATTTTAAAATGTGTTTTTTACCCAGTCTTTATTTTGTTCTATCACTGATTTTACTAGACGTCCAACTTAATAAATAAGTCTCACGTATATGTAACTTGTATCTTCTTTTAGGAACTGGCAAAACTACATTTATCCGAATGCTTGCAGGAAGACTTACACCTGATGAAGGAGGTACTACTTAGTTTCAACTGATGTATTGTGTTTAAGATATGGGAAAGGCTCTTGTTTTCATGATAAACTTTATCTTTTTCTAGGTGAGGTCCCAATTCTAAATGTCAGCTACAAGCCACAGAAGATCAGTCCTAAATCTACAGTATGTTTAACTCTTACTTATTAAGCATTATGTTTGCTGCAAAAAGCATGTTCTTAGTATAGAAGTAGAATTTGTTGATGCCCTGAATAGAATTAAAAGAGCATTTTGTTTTTAATTATTTTCTTGTAGCAGGACACGTAAAACTGAGTGGCAGAATTTTTCTTTTGATAGGGAAGTGTTCGTCAGCTACTGCATGAGAAGATAAGAGATGCCTATACCCATCCCCAGTTTGTAACTGATGTAATGAAACCTCTTCAAATAGAAAACATCATTGACCAAGAGGTATTAACGGCCTGGGATAATATTGTAATTTTTGAGCGTTAAAGAAGAAATGTGGCTCACGTTTCTTTTCTCCCCCTACTAGGTTCAAACGTTGTCCGGTGGTGAGCTGCAGCGTGTTGCATTAGCTCTTTGTCTTGGTAAACCTGCAGATGTCTACCTAATTGATGAACCTTCAGCATATTTGGACTCTGAACAACGTCTAATGGCTGCTAGAGTCATGAAACGGTAAAGTGAAGGCAGTGGGGAAAATGCTTAATACTTTCAGTAGTTCTACAGTAAATTCAAAGTCAGATCTCTCTCCCTTCTGTTTCTATTTCAGTTTCATTCTCCATGCTAAAAAAACAGCTTTTGTGGTAGAACATGACTTTATCATGGCTACATATCTTGCTGATCGGGTGATTGTTTTTGATGGTGTTCCTTCCAAGAACACAGTTGCAAACAGGTAAGAGGTTCATTGTATAAGCAAGATACAAGATGACAAAATAGAAATTAATTGTTCCTCAATAAAAATAAAGAGGAGAAGTATCCTTGGCTGTGGAAATTAAGTCAGGAGCTGCTCTAGCTTTTTTATTCCAGCCTTAGTCTACTGCACAGGAGCTGAACTGTAGTCACAGGAGGACGAGTAGGCGGCATCAGTGGGGAAGGATGCAGAAAGGGCTGTTAGCGGAGTATGCTTAAGGAAAATAGCTTACAGATGCATTAAAAGAAAGCTGTGAACTAGGGTTGGTTTTGGCACCTATGTAAATACTGTGGGAAGTGCAAGTTTTGACAGCAACATAGCACCTGTGGTTTTCACATGTTAAAGTATAAAACTGTCCTTTTTGGATTTCTCTACTTCTGTTCCAATAAATAAATAATTTCATATAAACCATGGAAACTTTGAACAATAACCATATTGGAAATCATGCTTGTAGAGCACTGTAATTTGGAAGTAGTTAGCAGGTCTTCATAGGTGCTAGCTTGCTTGTTTTTGATGACCATGTTTTCTGAATTAAAAAAACCACCCAATTGCCTAACTACTTCTCAGCATCGTGTTATGATTTTTTGTTGCAATTTTTTTTTTTTTTTTTTACAATACATAAATAACTTATGTGCCAACTCGCATGTAAGTATATAAATATAGTAAGAAGAATGCAAAGGCAGCAAGTAGCCTTCTAGTGACATACTGAGGTACTGAAAATATTGCACATGTACATCAAATACCTGCTCTCAGTTGTGTTACTGGACCTGAATGAGCTCAGGCTGGAAATCAAAGCTCTCTGTAGTCTGGCATAGCTGCCAGCACAAGTATGGAACATCTGATAACTTAGCTGGAAATTATGCACCATCTCTAATGTTCACCTCTCTTAACAGTCCTCAGACTCTCTTGGCTGGAATGAATAAGTTTTTATCTCAACTTGAAATCACTTTCAGAAGAGATCCTAACAACTACAGACCAAGAATAAACAAACTCAATTCAATCAAGGTAAGAAGCACCTTTAGAGTGATGAAGCCATGACTGTTTAAGATAAATCTGGGATTTAAAATAAGGAACAGAATGAAGGCTAGCATGCAAATCTTGCTGTGCTGGAAAACAATACCTGGGATGAGAATTAAGAGTAATAAGTAAAATAGGAAGGAATTGAGCTAACTGGTTTTAATTTCAGCTAAGTCTGCCAAAGGCTACTTTTAGTAATGCTGACCTTTTTTCTTTTCCCAAGGATGTGGAACAAAAGAAGAGTGGAAACTACTTTTTCTTGGATGACTAAATATTGAATCTGAGCATCTTTTGTAACTGGCCCATAGAAATGCATATTCAAATCAAATATTGATGGATAAGAAGGCTCAATTGAGTTTTAGAACACTTCATTTTTTTGGAGCTTAAACCTGTGCTGCGTGTAACATCTGAGACCAATAGCAGTATAAAATCTAGTCTGACTAAAACTGCCACTTTCTATATTTTGGTGACACAGCCCTATTTCCAGTGTTATAATTCCAAACAGACCATCTTGAAATTGTGCAAGTGAGGCTCCAGCTTTTTCAAAATTACCAGGAGGTTTTCAATTCCATCTATTCTACTCACATACCAGGTGCTTACTGGACTTCCAAGTTTTTTAAAATCATTGAAGCTTTTCTGTACAAGATGGAGACTTACCAGGAATGTCAAGATACAGAAGATCCTCTTATTTTAAAAAGGCTGAATCTCTCTGTATGAGGGTTTCATAAATAAATGTCCTCCAAACTTACAGCTCTTCTGTGATACGGTGCAAAAGTTCTGATGGAGCAGTGTCTGTGTGGTTATAGGATGTCACGCACACCTTTATCACATTACAAAAAGAAACAAAAGGAATACCAACCACCTATAACAGTGTAAAGAAGGACATTATATCTTTAAGTCCTCAATCCATATGCATCTTCTCAGACCTAGGTACAAGAGAATAATCAAATAAAGTCTCAAGGAAAACACTAAAATCCTGTCAAGCTTGTGTCACTTAAACTTGCATAAGTGAAAAAAAAAGATTCCCGGCTGGCTTCATGTCCCAGCTGCTTTGCTTTACACACTCTGCAGTAGAGGAAGAAGTAGGTTTTCTAAGTAATAAAACATTTCTAAAGTAATGATGTCAGCAGAACCTTCCTTGACTGTATTGCAATCCAGCTATGTGGAGCTGAAGAGAATGTGTACGTAGAAGCTTGTGACAAAGCAGTAATTTTATGTAAGAGGGTAGGGCAGTTCATATGTTGGCACAGTGTACCTCAGATTTATCAGGTTTAAGAAGCTGAACAAAGTATGGCTTCAGCTTTTATGTACACAACAGAGCATACCTTGGTGCTCAGAGTTTGAATAGCACTATAATGAGCTCAGTGGTTACATCCCCCAGGACTCACTTAGTTCAACTTGAAATCCTGGCTGGATTACAAAACATAAAGGCCCCCCAACACATCCACTACAATTTTAGACAAGAACAGAAATTGAGTGCAGTAGTTTATGAGCTTTTAAAGTCAGTTTTGCAGCTTGCCTACATATTGCCTGCTGAGTGGGTAAAGTCCTGCTGCTATTTACAGGTAGTTTTGTCAGCAGAACTAAACCACGCATCTAATATTGCAACAATTTCCAATACATGAATATATTTAGAAAGAAAGTTGAAAACACAAACATTTATTTCAATTAGGAGTTTTATACATCACATGCATCTGGAAAGAAATCGTAACTATCACGCAGGTTTCCTGATAAAGGGTGTGCAATCACCTCTTACGCTAGTATTTACAGAGATATAAAAATATACACAACACTTAATTTTACAGAGCAGAGCTGAGTGAACACCGCACACTGCACTCTTAACGAAAAGTCCCAACTGGAAGAGCAACAGTAACACTGCAAGAGATCATTATAAGGGTCTGAAAAAACAGCATCAGATCTCCGATACAGTGTAAAAATATAAGGCAGAAGCCATTTTCTTCTGAAGTCTGGGGAAGAGCAGAACACAGACTATCCATCTTGCTTTTAAAAAGTAGTTCCAGCAGTGAGTTGTACATGCAAAACATAAATTTGCATCAACAGTGCAATAACAAAAAGAATACTGAACAGTAGCTCAACCATACAAACTTAAAAAAAAAAAAAAGTAACGTACTTTTATGCATCTCTTCTCACAAAATATCTAGGATTTGTCAGTGCATTAGTGTTAAAGTGGCATTAAAAAAACTTCTGCTACTGTAACAGATGCAGAATCATCTTGGAAATGCATAGCATCTACATTGTATTGTCTTTGTAATTGTTTAGTTGGCATAGGCACCATTCTACTCACTCCAGCATTAATAATTCTTGGTGGAAACAGCCATTCTTACCAAATCATACACAGCTACTCAACTGCTTGTTTCTGATTTCCTCAAATAAATGCTTTTTAAAATTCAAAAATATACCCTATGAATATTAAAAGAACTATATACAACATACCTAAGACACTGTTTGTTAGCTGGCTGCCATACATGTAACACACAGAAGAGAAACATTCAAGTTTGACAGATTTTTGAGATGAAAGGCCTTTGGGTTGGAAGCATATCAAAGACAACAGTGCAGTAGGCTGAGAATTCCTTTAGCTCAGTTCAGAACTAAGGCATTGTATGTTAAAATATATTTGGTGCAATGTTACCATCAATTTTAGAATCTAGATCACATCAAATGCTGTAATTTGTCACCCTAGTAAACATATATATCCATCTTACATCACAAACTCAAGCCTTTGTGGAAAAAATTCAAACACTAAACCTATGTTTTTTTTTCTAATCTGACATTGAGGAAAAAAATCACTAAGCCAACCAAACCGTAATCTCCGCTAAACAAAATGATAGGAGCTCAAATTCTCATAGTCTTTACTCACCAAAATTTCATTATATCCTTGGACTTTACTAAAAGGAAATATTAAGATTTTAGAATTCTACCTCAAATTACCTTTTGCATTTGAAGATTTTCAATTATCCATTCATGCATTCATTCTATGCTTGATGTCCCCTCTGATTATCTCCCAGTGTTGCCCTTCTCCTGTCGTTCCTGTATGGCCTACCTCTAAAGTTTCGCTGGTACTGGTTGCCTTCATCTCTGCTTCTGCCAGGCGGTCCTTTCCAAGCTTCCTCATTTCTTGGGAACTGGTATCCTCCCCTAGTAGAATAGCCCCATTCCATTCTCGGCCTTCTGCCTCCTCCATAAGTCTGGTTATAAAACTGCTTGGATCTACCACTTCTCAGCATATCAGAAACTTCATTTTCATCTTCAGAGCTCTCTTCCCTCATTCTTTGTGCCCTGTTTTCTGTCTGTAGGTTACCAGCACTCCTAGAATCTCTAACTTTATCAATCTTATCCTTACGACTGTGAACAGTATTTTTCAGTTCATTTTTCGGAGGTTCTGCCAGCGGCAACGTGGTGTTGGGCACCACCATCTGCCTCTCAACCCCCTGTACTTGTGTAGAGCGATTTTGCAGCCCAGCTGTTGCCTGCTTAGCAGGAGAGGCTGAAATACAAGTTTTCTCCAACTGAGGTGCTCTAACTGAAGTTTCTTTGGGAGCACTGCAATCGCTGCTCACACCAGCCACAGGGAACGACATGGCGTTTGAGCTACTGCTGCTGTTAGTCTTCTGAAGCTGTTCTACACAGTTTACTGTAGGAACTGGAGTACTGCATTCTTTAGTCACGTACATGCTTGCAGATGTGCTAGTTGTTGCCTCTTTGTCCTCAGGTGCCACGACAACATTAGGTCTTGCTACTGAATTTTCAATGAAGCCCTGAACTGGGTACCCATACCAGAAGTGAGGAAAGAAAGGAGGTGCTATTGGAACAGCACCTAGAAAGTGACCGTGTCCAAAGGATGGTTGCGGGAACATATTTTTCCCCCTCAGGGGCTCATCATAGTTTGCATGAAGGGCTTGCACTGAATTCTCCGATTCAACACGGAGTTGTCCTTGACTTTCTGACACCTGAGCTGCAGGTACGATCAGTGGCAGTGATGGCGACCTGCTGTCAACGTGTGACATTTGACCATTGGATCTGGTCTCACTCTGAACAGCAAAGTGCCTGTTTGGTTGCGCAGTCTCATTTTCAATCTGCGTCGGTGGAGCCTCCTGGAACCAGGGATTGTGAGGATACACGGGGAGGGACACGTTTGGGTACATTCGACAAGCAGCTAAATAGGCCTGGTGCAGAGGGTACAGGTAAGAATGAGGTGCCCACATGGGACAGCTGTATGCCTGCAAGATAAGAAGAAACAAGAACTTGGTCTTTTGAATATGCAGACAGATGAGCAGCACACAGGTCATTTATCATTATGAAACAGATTTTATTTCTAGTGACTGCTCTTAGTTCTTCAGAATTTCTGGGCTTTCAGCATCATGCTCTCTTTTTTTTCTTCCGAATACAGTTGAAATAGGGACCAGTTATGATCAGTAAGAGAAGTTGGTAACATAGTTGCTGCATGGTTAATTTAAACAAACGAACACCAAGACAAAGTCTGCATTTGTCAACTCTACAGTACGACCATAGATGACAAGCTGGTTAGCTTGCTAACGCAGACACAGAGGAAGGGAAGGGGGTTGCTACACTATGTGGATGACTTCAGTATTGTCAACATAGCTCATGAGCAACACCACTGGATGTTTCTCTAAGGCAGCGTGTCAAATACACACATTTCAGGTTTTACAGAACACCACACAAAGCTGCTGTTGGCACAAGAAGAAAACACTGGAATAGGTAGGGGGTCTAGTGTGTGCTATCCGTAGAAACAGTCCCTGGAACCAACTGTCCTGAAAGCCTACCCAGACCCCTTTTGATGGGAACTAGTCAGATCAATCAGCACGAGCAGCTGGAAGAGTGTAGGCATCAGGATGACAGCCTCTGGGACCAAAGCAGCGCACAGAGAACCTGGAAGGTGGTCGCCAGGTCTACCACACTATTTGCTCACCAACTGAAGAGCACAATTAATAATCTCAGCACTTTGACCAGTAGATGGTGCTGAAAGCCCAAAATGACAGGTTATATCCTAAATAATACAAAGCACAGTCCCAAACAGACATAGGTTTTGAAAGCAAACTCTGCTTAAACACTTAAAATACACTGCAGTGGCACTTGCTAGTGACTTTGGCATTTTCCAATGAACAAGAAGATCTGCATTAGGTACATAGCTATCAAATCTAAAATTCACTTGGTAACTTGTGCTGAACATTGCCCTTAACCTGAGCAGGTGAGATAGACCAGCAGTTACCTAAGAGAGTCTCCACAGAACAAGATAAGCCAGGTATTTTTACTACAGTGCTTTTGCCGGTACACAGACATTATCAAAGGCAGAGGATTGTTTGTTTTCTACTACTTACTGCTTTTAGAAGAATGCATAGGCAAACACATACTGGTTTGCCTGCAAATTTGTAAAGCACAATTTCTGTAGACTACATATAACCATGTTTGAAGCAGATCTAGCATTATTGAACTGCAGTGTGTACACTTAGAATTCCAGTTAATACAAGGCAAAATACAAAAGTATTTCAAATCTAAAGATACGTTTGAAGCGTATAGCTGCAGCAACCCATCTCCCACACTGTAATTACCACCAAACATAAGAAAATTTTATGGTATAACATACACAGAAACATGCAAGTTTGAAGAGTTACCTTCACTCCAAGATTGAAGAAGAATCTAAGAATATTCTTATCTATAAACAGAACAACAACAATCAATGAAAACTTCCATCTGATCCAAAAATTGATCCTTACTTAAAGTTACATTTCAGTAGAGAAATACAAATATTAAGTTACTGTTTGCATGATATTGTTTGATTTACTGTTTTTTCTTTTTTGTTTTGTTTTCTTTTATGAGATTTTTTTTATGAGTTTTGGGCCACAGTAAAGTAACTGCTACACAACTACAGTTTCAGTTTCAGTTTTAGTAGCTTATGGAACTGAGATTTATTTTTTAGAGGAACAGTTCAGTAAATGCATGCCACTGTGCAGACATAGTATGATCTTTATGATCACGTTCTGTACTTCAAGTATGCTAAAATCTGCCTCCTTTCAGACCAATAAGGAAATGCTGGGCAACTTCCAGCATTTTGATTACAGCAGAAAATCAGATACACTACTGTAAAGGAAGAAGTTCCCCAAAGAAAATCCTATCAATTCACAAAACCTGAAGCCACAGTGGGTCAAGCTAAGAACCATAAAATGGTAACAGACTTCTAGGTGTAACCACTTAAAATAACTGCAACATTAACATGAACAATATAAATCAAAGACTTATTTCTCTATGCAATATTCCCTCCCACCCTTTATATTCTGAAATGGCAACAATTAGATCTTTGCTCCTATTGTTTACCTGTATATAAAGAAGACTTTTGTTAAAAAAAAAAAAAAAAAAGAAAACCTATTGGGAAGAAAGGTATAAAATGCAGACCTTCCAGATTCTCACCTTTAGGTAAGTCCTCCCCACTGCTGCACAGGGAGTAAGAGGGTGCAATGGCTCTTTCTCCCTTTTCACTTAAAGGAAATCCAGGATATAGCGGATCCTGATAAGGATTCAGAGTCTGAGGCAAAGGCATTAAGGGCTGGTTAACTGCTTGTATCGACACAGGAACTCCAGCAATTGGAGCAGATGTTACCTGAGCCTGTGATACAATAGAGTCAGGTCCCGTTGCTGGGGCTGGCATCAACGAAGAAGCAGGTATTTGGGCTGGAATACCTAGAGGCAAACACACATTTCTATATTGATTACGCATCAACTACATCAGATTACAAACGGAAGTGATAGTGGAAAATGAAGTTTAATATGACAGACAAAGAAAGAAACAGAAAAGGTATTCAGGAAAGTGGAAATGGAGAGTCGGTAAGTTATAAAAAAACAAAGATTTGATTAAATGTAGAGAATTGTTCTTTTCAGAAAGAAGTGAAATGGTTAAGTTTTCTAGAAATAGCTCAACCCTTCCCAAAGGGAAAGAGAAGCAGGAAAAAAAGGCAGGAACTGAAGCTTATATGTGAATTTTTGCAATTCTCTTTCAATCTCATCATTTAACCCATTGAACAGTTAACTCAGAGAATATGAGCTGAGATAAGCTGGGCTAAACAACTCCAAAACAATGTGGTCAAGTACAACAGGGTTATCGTGGTAATTATAGTACCATGTGAACATGCTGTGACAACTCTAAGGACAGTTTGTGTACAGGAACGACAGTGGAAAAAATACAGCACTTAACCTAATGAACAATACTGAATTTTATCTAACCTAACTCCATGTACCAGGAAACATGCACAGCACAAGAAAAGGCATTCAACTAGTTCTGCTACAAAGTCAGCTGAGCTTCAAATGGATCTCAGTAGCTCGACATACCAGACCCAAGGCGAGTCTGTAGCAAATCAGAAATTTATTAGGTGAGACACAACACAAAACACACAACAATCTTCCGTATATGCTGACCCTATTCTACATTAAGCAGATCTTTAGAATGAGCCCACTTCAAAACTCAGAACTGTCTCATTCAGGGGAAATAACAGAGCTGCGTACACATTCCTCTTCCATCTTCAGATAAGGAGTCGAGTGATCTACGTACACATGTAATCAAAGATCCACTAGAATTCCCACTAGTTTTGAGCAGCAAGTAAATTGCATTCCCATAGTGCCTATGGGATGTGAAGCCACAAGACACATGGATTTCCTGAAGGCATATTCAATGTAGCGAGACAGGGAAAACTAATTAGTTTCTGATATACATTAATATTTCTCCAAACCTGCTGGTCCGTAGGTTGTTGGCTCACTTGGCCAAGCTGGCACAATGGCTGGTACAGAAGGCACTGTTGGAGGCAAATGCACCTCAGAAAAGACTGGTGATGGTGTTGGAGCTACACTTGGTAAGCATTCTGTCAATTTCTATAAAGACAAAGAGATCACATTAATTTGTTCTAAATTAGCATTGCTGGTGAGCCCTGTCATGTTTGACTGCTACAAAAAAAAAGGCTTAATGACTCAAATACTGTCCAGACAGTCACCAGCACAAGTGCAAAATATCAATCAGCAACAAATCAAGTTGCATACATAACAGAATTTAAATTGAAAAGCACGATTAACTTACAAAATAAATATATGAAATAACCTCTTTCTCAGAAAAGAAACGATATATTTTTACTTTTCTATCAAGAGCAGTCCTTTCAAGTTCTTTACTTTGGATATAACAGGTTCCTAACTCTAAACAGGCAATTCTAGCATTATCACCATAGAAAGGACTGCACAGTTAAAAGCCATTATTACAACACATACATGCCTGTAACAAAGCTCTCCTTTGCCTGAAGTCTCCTGACTGGAAAACTCTGAAAGCAAATAAACACTCCTTACTTGTTCAGCAAGAGCTGGAGAATCTGTTTTTACTTGTTCCAAAGGAGATGAAGCTTTTGGACAACTCTCATCTTGACTATTCCTCTAAAGCAAAGTTAGAGAGAGACAAACACAGCTAGTCTAATAATAAGATTCATGTTTCAAAGAAGCATTCAAAAATATTAAAGCAGACTATACATGAAGTGGGCTAAGAATCCAGTCACTATTACATTAGAGTAACATTTTGCTCATTGGAAGGACAGCAAAGAATAAAAGCCAACAAGAGGCCACAAATCTTCACGTAGAGATTATAATCTATTAGCACAGTACCTATTAGCAAACATCAGATCTTCTACGGTCCCAATATACTGAAAATACAGACCGTACAAAGCAATTACAAATCCGGATTTGTAAGAGTTTGATGGCCCAGATGTGGAAACTCAGATTGTTAAGAAAGTCTGTAAGCATCTGTGACAGGGGCTGAGGAAAGCTGATGGCAACACTTGCCTCAAATATTGAAAGTATTTCACTAAAAGCTGTAAAGCAGCAGCAGCAATCACAGCTATAAAAGCAGCTATTGATCTGATAATCACATATCAGAGAAGCAGTAACAGTAAAAGAAAAAATAAAATTTGGTCTTGTCTTTGAGATTACCTCAGATGAATTTGGCTCAAGCTTCTGACTTAAGTGGATCTGCCTGGAATTTGACTCTGTAACACCAAGACATAACCTAGTAAATGAACCATGACACCATTTACGGCTTTCACAACTTAAGCCAGTTAAACTTTGTCTTTCCCAAGTCAAGCCTACATAACAAAACCCACCTCATCACATAATACTTCAGAAATCAATTTTTACTAAATATCAAGCGACCAGTTAGGGCAGTAACAGAACAGATAGTTTAAATCTGGGTTTTCAGACTTCTACAGGAGTTTCTGTTTGTTTTAAAAATCACCGCTTGTTAACCACTTTAATGATGCCAGAAGGAAGCAGGAAAGAAAACGGAGCTGTCTTCTCAGTTTAAAATCACACCATTCATGCTAAATTCCTCCTAATGCCTTCAATCAAAGTGAAAATGTCCTGATCTGCATTTCCAAATGCAAATATTAAGAAAAGACATAAGTTTAGAAGGTTTCACTGGTTCAAAATATCTAGAAAGTTTTCAGACTGATGCAGAAAATTTAATTCCTTCAGCACCAGCAAATAATTAGTACGGGAAGAGGCTGCTGAAGTACATCTTGGCATGACCTTCATAGGTTTGATCTGCATAGACTTTCTATGTTCTAGCTTTTGTTTTGGTCTGTTTCACACTGCTTGTCAACTAAATTCATGCACATGAGTTTAACGTAAGCTGCTAAGCAGATGCATTTATTTTTTATTTTTTTTAAAAACCTCAATGTGTGGTACCATCGTTCTAATTCCTAGACAACAGTGTAAATAAAACCAATATTGATTATAATTACTACAAATTCCCCAGTACCAACAGAAATCTCAAAATACTGAGAAGGAAGTAACTGTTTATTCCTGCAGAAGTTTTCATCTAGTTCCATAAGCAATGAATCCAAAACATCACCAAAAAAAAAAAAAAGAGAAAAGGTGACATGCCATACATTACAACTAAATCCAACCAGAGCATCTTCTACACATACGTTCTTTTTGGCATCACATATGAAACAAGTTGTAAGGTTTTTTTTAGTAATGAAAAAACAGGTAACATCAGTCCTTGTTAGATCATTTGAGAAGGTACTTGATGTTCTAACAGGAGCTGAATGGCACAAGCACCATAAACACGCAACAATGCCTTTTCCCAGAGATAAGGGAACAACAACAACAAAAAAAAGTAAGAAGAGAACAGCTTCTAAGAGAAGGCTTGAGTTTGAGTTTTATCTAGGCAGACAAGAAAAGAGAAAAACAACACAGAAGAAGCTAAGACCAAATTCAGTGTTCAGTCGTAGCAAAACTGACAGGACAATAACATAAAATACCATTGGCTGCATTTAGCAAAAATTGATTAACTACCTACTGACAGCTACAGCTTTCTTCTACTGCTGACACATTCCTCTTCCTCCCAAAAGAGGAAAAGCTTAGGAGTCGAAGTCAGGGCGTGTTTAAACACTTGGGGGAGGAACACAAACAAGTTTTGACTGCGTGACAGCTCTTATATAAACAGGTTTGGTTTTTTGGTGGTGGGTTTTTTTTTTGTGTCACCTCTTCTGCACAGTCTTTTCTCCCCCTTCCATACCATTGTGCGCTAATACTTCATCACATCACACGTGATATTTTTACCCTCTTTTCTCTTAATTTACACCAGTTAAGCATTCCTAGTATTTCTCCCACTATAGCACTTTCCACTATACTCATTAGCATTTCAACAGTATCTAATTTAATTCAATAATCTAGTTTTTCATTTCCCCAATTCATCTTCCCATTTACTACAAGAATGCCATCAAGGAGCCTACTTCTCTCAGCCACATTTACAAACTTTGACCTTTGCTTAGTTGAGAGCTATTACTTATAATAATTTTCTTCTCGTTACTTCAACTGATTGAATCTTGAATAAAGTCTGAAACTGGTAATAAATAAAAGGAAAACAAGACTTGATATGAATTTTTTTTTTTTTTTTTACCTTTATCTTTCTGCTCTTCCATTTCTGCTGTCCACTTGCTGTTTCTTTTCTCATTATTTGAGACCTTTTTTGGATTATCCACGGTCTGTGTAGGAGCCTGACAGACTGACTGATTCTAAAGACATTGACAAAAGCAGAAATGCAAATATATTTTAGAAGCTCAGCGACACTTTGCTGTCATATGGTATGACACTATTAGGCCTTTGTGACAGGTATATTTATTTCAGTAATATGCAGAAGGAGGAAGGAGAAAAGCAGTCAGATATCAGATTCATTTACCCTTTCATTCATTGCAAATTTTGCTTTAAAAGTGTTCATGTAATTAGTTTACATGACAAACTAGAACTGATTCACTTGAAGAATTTCTACTTTAAATTGTATCCTTTTGTATACAGGATCTGTTTATTCCCTGGATGCACAGAGACTAGTTCACTTTAAAAAACCCACATCAAAAGAACAATCTATTAAATCTAAAGGCTACAATTCCCTCAGACACTGACAAATCTACCAAAGCCATCCTGGTTCCACCGCAGAAAAAAGAAAAAGTCTAACACAAAGCATCTGTATTACTATCACACCAGACAAGTTCTCAGGCTAAGAAGAAAAGTCACCTCCAAATAAAACATTTTGATGTGGAATGAATCAGAAAACGGCACCTAGAAGTCTGTGACGTTAACTCAGGCACCACAGTGCCATTTCAGTGAGCTTTTTCTCATCATTAAACTGAACTTCAGAGAACGTTTTATCCTCACATAAGATTTGATCCCACTATTTGAAAAAATGCAATGTGTGAGTAACTGTAGGGGAGCATAAAGCACTGCAAACAGCAAGGAAAAATCAAGACAGAAGCCCATGGCTTCAGCAGCTCATATTTCTACTGTATTTATGTGCCTAAAGAACTATCTAATGTGGATATTAAAAATTCACAAAGGAAGCTACTAATCATAGGCTTCATACTGAACATATAGTGTAGATCTACACATTGCTATGTAGAAAGTGAATATGAAAAAAGCACCTAACAAAACCACAACACCACCGAATCAACAGTTACTAGTTAACAGTTCATGGACAGGTATGGAGAATGAGTTAATCAGTTACAACAGAAAAAAAACACATACATTGGATAGGGCAGGAAAAGCTTGTTCATCCCTCTGCTGGATCTCATAAAGAGAACGGGACTCTTCTATTGCCTGCTTCTCCCTGCGTTCCTCTGGAGATAGGCCAAAGTAGTTACAGTCTCTTCCACCATGGTTAAGATCCTCAGTTCTCTCACGGTCTGGTTTTCTATAAGGGAAAAAAATAAAACATTTCATCGAAGTATCAAACACAATGCAAACTCATAGCTTAGAAAAGCAGAAAGCATGCAATTATACAGAACTGCACATGTGATTCTACATATACCAAAACCCTTTCCACCTATTGCAGTTACCCATATTCAAAAAATTTAAGGAAATAAAGGTGGGGTTTTTTGTGCCTTCTGAGAACTGAGCAGCCCCGTAACAGTATCTAAGCTGTGCAAGAGAAAAAAGAGTAAGTAAAGGACATTTCTGTAAATATAGAAGAAAATTCATAGTTTTCAACATGTGAAGCATCACTACACAAAATTGACACCACTGCTGGAGCTTCCTGAACTACTTAATTAAACCATTCAGGATACTTCTGCATGTGGGTTAAAGGAAGAGGTGCTCAAAATGTTGCATGTGGGAGTCTCCAAAGACAATCCAGCCTCACTTATTCCACAAGTAGTAGTTACAAGAGAAGGTACAAAAGAGTAACAAAACAGACCATTATGAGTTGAGTTGTATACAAAATACAAGTCTTAAATAACATAAAAGGAGAGTGGCAACAGTGAAAACAAACTGCTGGTGCAGGCAAAAGAATGGTCTTATTTATACATCATGTGATCAGTCATAATATGCAGCTGTCCTCTTTTAACGGGGAGAAGCAGAGGGAAGATCTTAGCTATGCCCGAGACCTACATCCAACCAGGAAAAAAGCAACCTTCCAAGAAGAAACTAGAGTTTCAAGCACAGCCCTTCCCAGTGAAATATTGTCATACAAGAAAAAAATAATAATAATAATAAAATGAAAGTAGAAGCTCATGATAGCAACAACTCTGAAACGGCTTTGGCAATGAAAAAAATCTTTTCCTGTACTTATGCATATTTATAAGGACTCAAAATACTTCCTAGGAATTCAATAACAATGCGCCAAGAGTATGACAAAAGCACCTGAACAGGATCTACCATTCCAAGAAGCGTAGCTGGAGTTCAAAATAAGGAAAACGTTATCTGTAGTTTTACCTTACAGCTTGGGAAGAATTCCTGCCTGGAGCTTTTTGCTCAGTTGAGGTCTGATGAGGTTGAGGCCCAGAACATACGAACTGATGCTGCCTGGTTCCCACAGTATGCTGAAGTCGAGGAGGTAGTGCTGACTGGGGTTTTATTGACTTGCTCTGACTCTTTGGCCCTCTGCAATCTGCATCTGTGATAAAGAAATCAGAACATAATTCGTTTATTATTTTTCACCTCTTTGGGACTAAACATATGACAAAGATTCCGCCACAGAAAGGCAGGCATAGTCCTACCGGGCTGAGCATTCTGCCCCCACGTTGGGAAAAACTTTTTCATCTTCTTCCCTGGCACAGTGTTCCAGCCCTCCATAGGAGAGGCCTGTGGAAGAGGTTTAAGGCTCTTCAGTGACACAGAATGCCTACAGAATGAGAAAAGACAGAGGGAAAAGGAAAATATTTAAGACCAGACTTTGGAATACTACGTGTTTACTAAGACTGGTGGATCTTTCCATTTTTGATAACATTGCATTTAGCGTCCTTACTTCTTTACTATTATATTCAAGCAATATGTAGAACTTTTTCCATTTTTCAAAAATTCTTTTGTAAGGCAATACAAATTTAGCCAGCATTCAACAGCATGTAGATGTCCTACAGTTGTTTATTTTCTTTTCCCGGGCAGACAGGAAGTACTGCTCGATTCTTGTGAAGTTTTCAGTTTTCTTACAGAAGGAAATTCCATGAGATTAATGGGGATCTTCTTCCTTCCCTTATTTACCTTGACTGCATTTCCTGTTCCCAAACGACACACCTACACATCACGCTCACTGATTTAATATTTTTTCCCCAGAAGAATCACAAAAATTACAGCAGATCTCAAGAAGGCAGTCAGAAATGAAAATAGAAAGGATAGTCCATCCCATTGCCCTTCCCCCCCCCCCAAAAAAAACCCACAAATAACCACTATCACCAATTTTAAACAGTTTATTTGCCCTAAGATACAGTGAAGAGCTTCCACTTACCTAAAAAACAATTTCTTTGAAATGAGGTGGAGCTACTCAACCAAAAGTGAAGTTAAGCAAATTGATGGGCCTTTTCATATGAAAAGCTTGCCAAAAAAATCTAGCAACCAATTATCAATCACAACAAGCAACATTTAAATAGGAAAGTGGGAATCTATTTAGAATTAGAGCTTCTGCAAGCAATGCTATTAAGATTTTTTTTTAAGAAAAAAATACATAATTAATGCTAATATGGTCACTGATTTCTTGCACAAGTAATATACAGAATACAATGCGCTAAAGAAAAAAAGACTGCAGTGACAATTACTGTACAACTCCCCTCCTTATTTTATTTAAAGTATTGTTTTCTTAAAAATGTTTCAGCAGTGCTGCTTCAAGTAAAGAAGCAGGTGTCCGTGCTGAAAACACATCTGAACTAAAGTAATGCTTTGGCACTCTTTCCCAAAAGAAATTAAGCACTTACTTTGCTCCAAGCTCTTCTACAAATACAACAACTGGCCCACTCTCAGAGCAAACCTCTTGAATATGGGCATTATAAAATTTCCCATTATGGTCTAAGCGCACCTATGGAAAAATAAATAGAAAAATAAATAAAAATAAAGAGTCTAAGAGAATGGGAGAATACAACTCTTTAAACTATAAGTAATATTAAAAATAGATCTTGTCCTCTGGGCAAAAAAAGACCTGAGAAATAAGAACATGTCAACCAGTAAATGCACCAAAAAACAAATCTTCAACCAAAAACCAAATCTTCAATCAACATAAGTTCTTAAAACACACGCACACACACACCAGAGAGCTTTCCAGCTCTTTACTTCATGAAATACGGCTTCCAGAACTTCACAAAACAGTTTAGAAGTAGCTAGTCCCATCAAGAATTTTCAGCATTACTGAAGACCGTCTCTCAGAATAAATCCCAAAGCTTTTTCTTGTTTAAATCCAGGTAGAGAAAAATCATTCACTGACCTCACTGAAATTTAGTTTCATTAAGAACATAAACAACAACACCAATTATTTCAGATGTAACTTTTCAGAATGAGATTTAAAGCAAACAAGAAAGAATTTGTTCAGACGTGATAGGAGTTTTCACTGTCTAAAAAAGAAAAAAAAAGCAGACATTCTAGGTGCTTAAAATTTTTATGTTAAACATAAAATAAGTTTATCAATGAATGTCCTGCTACAGCGTTTGGGTTTCCAGTTGTATTAATTCAGTTAACATCACTTCTCACTACTTCCTAAGTTTTTATCCCATGTGTTTAGTGTCTTATTGTGTACATAAAAACAGGAGAGAGAGGTTAAATATCAGAGCTCCTTCTGCTATTACTATGTGTAACCTGAAGTCCATGCCACACAGGACAACTTCAGGGTCTAAAAGAGGAAAACTGTAGCCCATCCTATTAAGCAATAAATAACCAACTCCACATAAGGCTTTTCTGCTCTTAGGGGGAGGTTGTTCTGTTGTCTATAGGAGGAGCATTTTTGTTGTGTTTCTGGGGGTTTCTTTTGGGTGGTGGCTTTGACTTTGCTGATCAAATAATTCTTTCTTACATAACAAATACATACACACAAATTGTGTGCATATATCAAAATAATTGAGATATACATCAAAATAGTTAACAAAGAGGGAAAACTGACACATTAACAAGACATTATTGTTTTTCTCCAACTGTAATTATGTAGTACTTACTTTACATTTATCTCCAATTGAGTATTGCATGCCAGCAGCAATAGAAAAATCTTGTTTTTGCTGATCTGTAAACACATTAGCAGTAACATATTGTTAGTTTAAATACACTAAAAGAGTGACTTTATTGATACAGTTAAACTAAAAAGCAGTAGTCCAGGCCCTCGATCCACATACTGATACATAAGAGGAAGACCACTACCTGAAATGAAACCATCATTTACATCACTGCTCAAAAAGGCTCTGCTTCCCATATCAGCTTGCAATAGATGGAACTTAGTATGCAATTACTTACCCCATTTGGATTGTAGCCAAACATCATACTCAACATTTCTGTAAACCAATGGATTGAGTGATTTAAGAACTTTCTTAGGCAAAAACAGGGTGGGATTTCCACTGCTCTTAAGGTGCTGTATGAAACAGAATGAAGTGTTAAAGAGGCCAATTAAACTGAAGTTTACACTAATAGATTTTTAAATCACAGCAGTAAGATTCCAAACTTAAATACAAGAGAGTCAAAAATACATAAAGCATAGGAAAGGGTTAAAAAATTAATTCAAATGGTGTTCTTTCAACCATACCAGAACAAAATTATTAAACAGCAGTACAAAGGACTCTATCCATCCACAATGAAAGCATCACTCTTCAAAGAACCAAGTAGATTTTAAAATAGTACATGTTTGTACAAATAGAAAATCAAGATTATATCATGAATGTGACCAAAAAAAAACCCAACAAATCAGAACACAAGTTAACGGGGGAAAAATAAATCTTAAATAAATACCTTGTTGCCAGAAAGAGACTTTAATCCATTCATATCACCAACTGTTGTAGCTTTACTTCTGCAGAAGAAAAGGAATAGCAACAGTATATTATTAATAAGGGCTAAGCAAGAAATGTCTTGGAAGCTGAGGAAAATACGAAGGCTACCATTCTCTTCGTATTTTTCTGCACTAAACAGACCATGCAACATCTTTGTCTCTTAAGATGAAAAAGCTAAGTCTAAAATAAGATTTACATTTCTATACCACACACGGCTAAAACTAAGACTTGATTTTTAAAGTTCAAGTTTTAGGAAGCTTATCTTACATTAAGACACTTAGCTATTAGTTTAAAAAATAAAAAATAAAAATGAAGGTTGCAAGGGAAAAAATTTCCTCTAAAATGTTGCAGTTACCTAAGAAAAACAGAGCAAAAGAAGCCATCAGAAATAAATGATGTCATAATCCATTAGTTAACCAGGATCAGACACTCTAACTTAGTCTATTTTTCTACTCCTGACATTAATGGAAGCTTCAGGCAGCTGTCACCATTAACGTTTCTCACAACAGAAGAGCTGCTTACATTTAAAATAGCATAACTGAAAAGTTAACATTTATAAAATGAAAAAGAACTTCCAGAAAACTAAGTGAGGAAACAAGATAAAGCAAATTTTAAGACAAGCAAAAAAACCCTTATGACTTTAAACACAGGGCAAAATGTTTGTAATTGAGGCTAAGCAGGTCAAGATTCACACAAACTAGGTCTTGCATCAACGACATCAAGTGAGATAGACAGTATATGACATCCTCTTACAAATGTGCTACACAGGTTAGCAATATATTTGCTTATGAATCCCAATGATAGAGGATACCATCATTGTACATGAAGCTCAGGAAAGCATCAAAAAGGAATAGGGAATTTTCCACACTGACATTTAACTACAAAAATTGTTCCTCTACACAGAAATATGTTGTATTTGATCTGGAAACATTCCCTATTATTCCCCGCTCCCCCTCTAAGAAGAAAGGAAACTAATATCTTCCCCAAAACTTGGTATTCTCTCTCTGTCAATTTCCATCAGTACCACAGCAGCACAGAGGCCCTCTGGAGATCATCAAGTGCACCCCTCTGCTAAAGCAGATTCCCCACATTACTTTTGAGAGCGAGGCAACTAATTCTCACGGAGTTTACCACACCACACTGGCATGGTGACAATTCTCCCCAGGAATTATTCTGTTTTGAACAGGAAGAGGGACATGTTCCAATGGCAGTACTCCAATATGTAATGAGACCTTAAGGTAGACTGCAGGAAAAACAGACGAACTAGGTCCTTAGTTACAGTAAAGATTACATAAGTAATTCTTTCATAGGTCCTTCCTCTTTCTCCTCATTAATTCTTAAATGTTTTCAACCCTGTTAAGTTCTACTACACACAAGAAAGTCAGAAGATTTGTTTAACATGTATTGTGTCCACATGCATCTTACAGCAACTTCTAAATCCATTTACCTGTAGTTGTCATCCTCTGAATCTGAAGCAGAAAATTCACTGCTACCATTATTTTCCTCTGTCATACCAACAGCACTAAGTTCTGCTATAATTTTCTTTACATCTGTACCAAACACCTTCTCATACAGCAACTCATAAAGAAGAGCTGGGGAAGGGGACAAGAAAGTGGTAGAACAAGATCAGTTATGAGGTAAACAAAATTTTACATCACCATTACAGAGGAGTTTGAAGTCACTTCAATGAAAACAAGCACTCTGAAGCGTTAACTGAAACAGTGAAGTTGTTACAAGTCAAAATAGCTGTAGCTACTATAGTTTAACATGTACGCATTAAGCTACCAGCAAGCAGTTCTCCTGACAGACAAACTGGGTCTTAGTCCTGCAACTCTGTATATAGCCAGGAATTTCAAAAAGAATAGGAATTCCTGTATGGGATGCCAAGGGACCCACCAAAGCTGGCTGGAACCTCTAGGCATTACTCCACTCTGGTAAGAAAAACAGTAACTCATGTAGACAGTTATTTTTTGCACAGGCAACTCCCATGATTTCTGTAGAAGTTATACATGCAAGGATAATTTTTAAATAAACAACTAGTTCACTAACATCATCTGAAATACAAAATTAAAACCTAAATGCTGACCAAAGACAATTCAATAGATTTTAAATCAGTACACTAATGATTTCTGTTCATATCAGAGCACCCAGATAAAGAGAGGCAGGTAAGTCTTCCCCTCTGGGTAGTTAACTTGAAGTCATGCCTCAAGAACTAAGGCACAGGAAGAATCATACAGTCATTGACAATCTAAACGGAAAATTAAGCTCTAACAGAATGATAATAATTCCAGAATAAGCTCCAATAGAATGATAATAAACATTCAGACAGAGCCTTTTCCCTTTAACTGAAACCTGGATTATCATTTGCAGTAAAAATGCATGCTTTTAGCTAACCAACATAATACTTACACTGGCACAGAGCAGCCCTTTCTGAATACTCTATGGGATAAACAATATCATAGTGGTTTCCATTTGAGAAGCAGAGCAATACCTACAAAACAAAAACCACATATTTTTAGGTAAATGAAGAATCACTCGATTCTTCATATAAACAGTACCTCTAAACTCAAATCAATGTGTCTCATTATATTTCAGGATCTCAAAATAACAATAAAACAATCCAAAAGTTTAATGGATGTCTTTTAAATAAAAAAAAAAAGTTGGCTGAAAGTAAAAAAATAAGGCCAACATAACTATGAGTCGGCATTGGTCATAAATCGATTTTCACAGTATTTTAAGCTACTAAGAAGATACACCACACACCAAATACAGAGCAGCTATTTAAAATGAGCCACATGTACTAACAGAATCGTTGTCTTAAATAGATACAGAAGAAATGGCTCAAATTGAATTGTCTCAATATTTGTGTTGACCAATAAAACTCATGTTATATTACTTGTTAAATAAAGTAGCCTTCATTCAGATTTCACTATACACGCACACACACACACAAAAATATTAGTGTTATTTTAACCTTATCAGAAAAGCCATTTTCAGTCACGTGTGAAGGAGAAGCATTTGGTTCCCGATATATTATGAAATCTTTTCTGAGGGGAGGAAAAAAAACTATGTAAGATTTCATGTAACAATCAGTAAGAACAGGAATATTCAAGCCAACTTCAAAGAATATCTATAACAGCAAAAAATACCTATTAGAAAAGAATACTGAAGATAAGTGGACCTTTCACTGGACCAAAAAGGACTTTTGTAATATATTTGCTCTCTCAGGAGAGATTCAGACAGAAAATATTTATATTTGACAATTCCAGTACTAATCTTATACTCCAAGTGAAATTTTTGTGCAATACTTCATCCCCTTTGATGCACCAGAGCCTTCTGTCACAGATACAGGAGCCTATGGTGCACTGTAACAGTTCTTAACTAATAACATCACAGAAGATATTTAACATGGATGCAGTTATTAATGACTTAAGTAAGTAACTTCTTAATTCTAGCTATTTCTACTCCTCTCCCAGCACATGCATTTCAACTTACTGCTCTTTTTTTCTTTTTTTGAAGTAGCAGTAAAATCTTCTATCAGTTCTATCTTACCAATATTTTCACACGCACAGTTGTGACATAATTCCTTTTTGATTGTTATGTTATTAAAATGATTTATGGACCGTTCTTAACATATTTGCATCTTCTTCCATTTGCCTTGATTTGGGGTATAGCACACCATCTCTATAGCCTTCCTATAACCAGTAAATTGCATGTTGGTGCACTGCTGGCAGATACTCATCATGTAGCACATCAGCCCAGCACACTTTCATAAAATGGGTTTAGAGAGCTTTATTTCTGTCCTAAGCAAAGATTGCTTTCCAAGGTGAAATAATTGCGTCATTATCCTTACAATGATTAAAAATATAAATGAGCAGCTGGGCTATGACAACATAACATGCAGAATTTACACGCTGCATTTAGAATTTAAATTCTATATTTAAAATTATTTTTACAATCTATTTAATTAGAAAGCATTAAAAAAATGGAAATAAAGTGACAAGGGAAAATTCATAACTGATATTGACTTGATACTTCCTCTCCTACTACAAAGCAATCTCTGTCCCAAGATTTAATTTTTCTTTTATCCACAGTCCTCCCTTTGCTCAGCAACCCATCACTTTCTTCAACAACATCTTTTCTCACAAAAACTTAAGTGTAATTAATCTTGCAAAATGACTACGTATATTCACACGTGCAGTTTTTGGATCTAGGAAAAGAAAAAAACAAGCATGCCTTTCTACATCACCTGAAGAACAGCAATTCTGAGAGGAAGATAATATCAAAGCTCAGAGAGCCACCCGCCTCAGACAAGCAATTAAAATGTAGAACATAACCAAAGCAGTACTGCGACAGATCTGAACAGTGGAAATGGAGCCAAATCTATTGATACTGCACTTCTACCCTGTGCTTTAGAAGTCTGAAGCTCTCTCCCTTTTCTACCTGGCGTGGAACAGAAAACTTGCACTTCTGCTTTCCTTGCATCTGCCAGCATGCAGTAAAAGAGGAGACTCTTTCACTCTACCTCCATCATCTCTTCTTTCCTAGAGCTTCTAAGCTGCCTTTTCAATGGAAGCCCATTGGAAGTCTTCCCAAAACAAAGTGTAGCAGTCACACACACAGTGCAAGCAAAGATAGACTTTTGGGCAATTTCCTCCTCACTTAAGTATCTTAAAGTAGTATTTTACTAGTTCGCTTCTTCCCTCATCACCATCTCGTCAAGAGTCAAAGTACAAAAGTTATTAATTTACAGCTAGGATTTTGAAGTAATGAATTTTCTAACTGGCTTATGAATAGCTTTAAGATTTTGTACATTGCTCACTTCCTTGCACAGAAATTATGAAGTTACAGATTTACAGATATTCAGCATATTGTTTTACTTACAAAGTAGCATACATTTTTCTTATAGAAAGGTTAACACGCAAGATTATATTTACTTGAAACGCATCTGTAAATCTGCTCATCACCAACAGGAGCATTTACCTAGACACAAATACTAAAACATCTAAGTTTAGCTCAGGCTATGGTTGCCCTATTTTGCCTACGCCGATAGAGTGGAAAAAGGAAAAATCTACACAGAGATGAGAATAAAAGATGCCACGGTAAACTTGGAAGTCTTATCCAGCTTCACACTGGGAGAGTACCAGAATGGCTTTTTAACATATAGCCTACAATACTCTAACCCACAATACACCAACCCTACAATATTCCAACCCACTCCACAGCATCTGAACTGAAGCAATTAAGAAAAGGGTGCAGATCACAGCCTAGTAATAGGGCTACTATCAAACCTTCATGAGAAGTAGGGAGAAATGCAGTTTTAACAAAAAATACGATAGACAAAGTTAACAAAAATACAAACAGCATGATACCACCCACAATTACGTCACACAGGTGACATGAATGACATTAATGCAAACTCCAGGTTAAATGCCATTTTGAAAGCTCACTTCTCAATTCCTATTTAATACCTTGACAGCTGCAGTTTTCCAAACATATTTGTAATTTTCTGAAGAACTAAGATGTGACATACAATTCCATCCTTGGTATCCCAACTGATTAACTATCACAGCAACTGAATTGACATCAATAAAACATACTTAAGGGTTGTCTTACTTGTACATAAGTGAAAGGGCACTTATTTCTACTTGTCCAACCCATTCCTGTATTGGGAAAAAAAAAGAAAAAATAAGAAAATTAAGCCCAATCAAACACACAAACATTACACCTCTTTGTGAGTAGATAAACAAGTAATTACTGTCAAATATAAATCCACTGACACTGAGTCTGGAGTTCAACCAAGGTAATTTGATTGTATTCAAAGATCTTTTCAAATAACAGTTGTTCCAGCAAGGTTCAGAGACAGAAACTGGAGGCCTTTTTTTCCAAAGTAGAAACTGATCTGTGTGAAACCTGAGAACTTAAAACAATGGAAAATGGAATAATTTACCATTTGGTACAGCATATAGCCTCGTTATCTGAGCAACAGTGCTATATGATTAAAACTCCTTGGAAAAGCAAAGACAAAAGAATAGTTTAACATCTATTTTTTTCTCTTTCTCCATATGTTCTGAAAGTAAGTTAAAAAGACTCATCTGATGAGCTGTCTTCACTAGAGATGTTGTAGTTGCAGAAAAAAAAAAACATGCTTTTATTTTGTCAGGGAATGCATGTAAATACACTACAAAATCCACAAAGTTGTTTAGTTTTCTTTCTATATGTTGCACTAGATTGTTCTCTTCTTTTCTCACATTATACAAGCTGTTATCTCCCTAACTTAAAAAATTAAATCAATTGTGCACCACATCAGCTGTCTTTTCATCATCTAAATCTTCATAGCTTTACTCAAGGCAGGCTTAAAGAAAAAGCTGATCATGCTGCTTGTTGTGGGTTTTTTTGTTTTTCATTTTAGAGGCTTTGAGAATTTGGATACAATATGAGGAAACAAAACATTAAAATGGAAACAAAAAAATCCCCCAAATATTTTATGTTTTACAAAAGAGTATATATGTATGTACACGGGTCACTGCCAAAAGTAATGCCTCCTATTCACTTCCATGGAGGCTATAAGAGGTACAAAGAGCACAATAACACTAACCTAAAGAGCAAAATCTTAGGTATAAAACACTCCTTTTTAACACAGTCCCCACCATGAGCTATGCATTTTCACCAGTGATGAACAGAAGCCTCCATTTTACACTTGTAAAAATCTACCCCCTCACTGTCCTCACGTCCACTGTTTGGTCTCCATAAACATTCAGCAAGCACTGACGAATGTCAATGGCTGCCATTTTCCCTGCATGGAGGAATTCAAAGACAACCCTTTGCTTCATACACACTTCCATGTCAGACACCATTTTGTCAGACTGTCCCTCTGCTGCCATCTGTCACACAGGAACAGCATGGAATGGGATATTGGTGGGAAGGTTCAACCTCTACTTCTGTACCACCAACATCTGCCTGCAATGTCATGGGCCAACATAATAGAATGAGAGGTACTACTTTCAGAGCAGCCCTCACATATTCAAAAAACACAAAATCCCTTAAACTCAGTCAAAAATATTTGCAACAAAACAATCCCAATTACCAGTAAAGATAAGAACTACTTTCTATTATAAGCCAAGATCACCATACCTGTGGATTTTCCAAACATTTTAAATATTCTTCAAATGGCCCCTCTATGAACTGTATTGAAAAAAAAAGTTAATTTTAGTAGTGCAGCATATGGATTCCCCCAACCCATGGCCAACTGTACCAATGGCAACACACCACAAGAAATTTACAAGTACCCAGCCCACAAAGCACTCACAATCACATAGAATTATGTGGTGATAAAAGGAGGAAAAAAGAAGTCAAACATATGTGTCTGCGATCTAGGAGACAGACACACAAACAGATTTCAGAGATCTCACACAGTGAAAACAAAAACAAACAAAGAAGAAAACCCAGCAGCCAAAGAAGAATCCAGTAGAAAAGATGCTGTCAAATAGATGTTTATGGCACACACAGCATCACAAACCAGAGTATGTGTGAGCTTATTCAAGTATCTTGTTGTAAGAAACTGGCAGCAATCAGACAGAAATGGGGTCACATTTCCTGTAGCACCCATACATTACGCAGGCAAATCGAGAAGTTTTGCCCTTTTTTGTATCACTTCAAAAAAAGTGCTTTTACTTCTAGTATAAGAACACCAAAAAACAGACAAGTCTGTAAGCAATAAGCTAAGAATATAATCCCTCAGCTGTGCTTAACATACACAGAGAGCAAAATTACATCAGTCAACACTATGGAGAAAGATGCTGCAGAAACAGAGAAGCATTAACTTCCACTGTCCAACCATGCTGGCCAGCAGAGAAGCTATATTTTAAAATTGCTATTGAGAGTCAATCTGCTTAATTTAGCTAAACTTTAGACCCAGGAGGCTAAAAACAAAGAAGTAGTCCCCACTGTGAACTTAAGATGCAGGCAGAATAGCCTCTCTGCCCATACAGATTAAGAAACAAGGTAATAAGAAAAATGGAACAGAATTGTGATATTAAAAGCTCTGCTTTAACAATTTTGAACCAGACTTGACTGTACGGTTCATTAAAACCATCAAAAAGCCTGGCTAAAATTTTTAATTTACCTGAAACAAGCAGAAATGAAGTAAAAGACCCATGAAACAACAGCATCAACAGCAGCTGTTAGGTGTGTTGAAATAAAATAACCTAAAGATAATGCATAAAGGAAGAAAGGAAGAACACCAGATGTTCTGATAGAAAACAGAAGAAGTTAAAAAAAAAAAAAAAGAGTGAAGACAAGCAATCAGCAACAGACTTGAAGAGAAGATGAGGATGAAATGGAGGACTGAGTACAGTCACCTGAAACTTTGGTTATAGCAGGACTAATGCAATAGAGGCAGAAACTGAAGGTGAAATGATTACAATAGGTAGAGAGGAATTTCACTTAGTAGAACCAATAATGTCAGTAGCACTTAATCACTAAGGCAGAAGGCGAGGGAAGAGTCACAGAAACATGGGGAAAGAGAAAAAAGTGAACAATAATGCCACTTCATAGACAGAAAGCAAAAAGTATAATAGGAGACATGGGAAGCAAAGGATATCAGCAGACCTGTAGTGAGGTATCTGAGAGAACACGAACGCTTGGAAACAAGAACAGATAAAAAATACCTCAACCTTGTACACGAAACACCTATTTTGAAAAGCACAATTTTATTTTTCTTCCCCAAAGAAGCTTTTCAGAAGTACCACAGAGGTGATTAGAAGAGATCACATCACTTGGGCCAAGTCAGAGGAAAAAACCTAAAACAGTGAGATCTTACACACAGGGAGACTAAAAGTTGGGAGGAGAAGGACAAGAACAGCAAAAGCAGCTAGGGTTGAAAATGAAGTTACTCAACTGAGATGACAGAATTGGGGAGGAGAAACAACATGCATTTACAGTCAATAAGGACTGCATTCTGAAAAACTTCACAATACCACATGGAAACAAGTTTAAGGAAGCAGTTTTGGAACAAACAGATCAAAGAATCAGCAGTAACGGAAGAAAAAAGGAAAAATACAAACAAGGATCTAAGAGTTGCAAAATCATGAGAGGGACTGGACATTAACAAATCCAGTTGTCCTGGCAAACACTAACATGTGAATCAGTATTGCACCCTCTTCGAGAGATTCACTCTAATTTGTTTAAATCTTCCCAGACAATTTCCACAAAACTAACAGGGATCATTTACATTTGAGTACAGGGCATTCTGTTAGAAGTTACAGCATATACACACACACTGATCTCCTTTTCCTCGCTGAGCGATGTGCATCAAAGGCAGTTTTCTTAGTGGTGTCTGGGTAATTTTTAGCAAAGAAAAAAAGAGGCAAGCAATAATCCCTTAGTAAGAAATGCTCACGTACACTCCTACCATGGTTATCCTGGTAACTAGTTAGATAGTGTTACACTAAAACACAAAAAAAAGCACCATTATTTATTACTATTCTTTTAAGAGGAACTAAAAATAGATTTCACAGTTGTAGCATTGATGACACCGGCCAAATATAAACCAACATCTATATGTTGTTATTTTATATCCATGGCTGATGGAGAATTTTGTTACAGATGTTTAGGAAAGGAGTGGGGGAATCACTATGGCAACATATAATAAATTGCAGACTTTGAAACAAAACCCACTAGCCTCGTCATACAAATCGCTCATGTATGGTAAAAGCAATTAATTAGCACAGCAAGAATATTTTGTGATTTTTATTAACTTAGACAGCATTCTAAAATAAAATTCCGATTTCAGTCTGCTGCAGACCGCAGAGTTTAAAAAGCTTTATTTTGTTTTGTTTCTTTAGATGAACACTGGAGTTTCCACTTTTTCCCCACTCATGTCTGCCCAGCCCAAGCAGTACACAGGTCTTCCTCCAGGCTTCAGAAAACGAGTTACTACCACATATATGTCAGTTAAGCAAAGGCACTCATTTTAAAAAGCATCACTTAGCACACAGCTACAGTCAATACTCTCAAACAATATAGTTAAGAAAAAAGAACCAAGGAAGATTTTTAGTAAATGCTCACAAATGAACCAGCAATACTTACTGCTTCAAACTTCTCCCTGTGTTTCCGAAGATAGTCTACACAAGCCATCCTAACATCAACGTGCCGAGACTGAGAGTGTAACACCTACCAAAGGGAGAAGTCAAAACAAGTGAGACCAGTGCTTTTGATTTTTGCTAACTGACCATAAATAATTAGTGACTCTATCCTACATACAGGCTCGGAGATATTCTAGTTTTAATTTGAAGAATATTTCAAATGTTTAGACATTCAGTAACAATATCTTTAAGCTCAACTGCGTATCCAAAATTAAGTAAATGCAGAGTTCTTGTATTCATTAAATTGAAATGTTCAATTCTATTATTAAGTGAAAAGAGTAGCATTTGTTGTCATTTTTCAACTGAAGCAAGGAATTCAATTAGTTAAAAAGTGAACTGTGTATAATTAGCACAGGCATTTAGGCTTCTCTCAGAGCAAAGCACCACAGCTCCCACTGCTGTTTGTTTGTATTTAAGACAAGATGACGCTGTCGCTTTTTCTTTAACAGAAACACGAAACGGGGGGGAAGGGAGCGCAACAGGAAGAAGCAAAGCTAAAATACTCACAGGGCTTTTTAAACTCCTTCCACTCAGTTCGTTCTCCCGCAGTCCCAATACAAGGCAGCTGCACCCAAATGCAGCAATCTGACAAACGCTCCGTGGCAGCAGTAAGAGGTCAAAGCTTAGAGTAACACGTGCTGCGCACACGCTGCACTTCTCTCCCCCCACCAACACAGCGCTATTTTTTTTCCCTCAGCACATAGCCTACGCTTGTCTGTATTTTAGAAAACATACGTCCACGAGCAACAGCTTTCTTTAAGCAACTAGTTACCTGCTCCGCCACGGCCCTGAAGAGACACGATCCATCCTTGGCAACCTTCTTCCTGTACAAGCCCTGAGATCTCAAGTAGCAGTCCATGGACGCGGCCGCGGGAGCGTCCGTGCCGCCGGCGCAGCGGCTCTGCTCGCCGCCGCCGGGCTTACCCGCCGCCTCCATGTTCAGTGTTGCGCGCCGCGGGGACAGCCTGCGCCCCTCCTAGCCCCACATGGCAGCCCGAGCGCCGCGGAAGGGCAGCAGCAGCCGGCAGGGCCCAGGGGCGCCGGCGCGCCGACACCCGAAGGAGCAGCGGCGAGAGGAAGCGCAGCCGCCGGCCCCGCGTTAGCAACCCGCATGTGGGAGCCGCGGAGAGAAACGGGAAAGTTTCACGGCGGGGTCGGGCTGCGGGCCGCGGGCGCGGCGCGGCGTCGGGATCCCGGTCCGGCTTCTCCCGGAGCGACGATTCCGGGCGGTCCCGCGGATCCGGAGCGCAGCCGGCCTGCGGGACGGAAAACAAAAGAGAAAGGACATGTGCGAGGAGGGAAGGCGGAGGAGGGGGGCGGGCGGGGAGCGCAGCCTGGAGTTTATTTTCACTTTCAGCCCGGGCGCTGCTGGGAGCGGTAGTCTCGGAGGAGGAGCGGGCGCAGCCCGGCCCGCACCCCGCCGCCGGGGGCTCAACCGGCACCCGGTTGCTTCCCATCCCATCCCCTCCCCTCCCATCCCACCCGCGGGTGCGTTTTTTTTCCAGGGACGGGAAGATAATAGTTTGAAATCCAGCCACGTGCGAGGAAGGAAGTCAAACCGGCCCAGTCAAAAACAAACAAACAAACCCCACACCTTAATTAAAAAGGGAAAAAGCTAAAAAGCTACTTTTGATCAATCGTTTCAGCACACTCGCACCACTCTTGTGCATATTGCTGTTAACAGTGAGAAGCTACTAATGCTTTTTACAATCACAGGACTACATTTTGCTCGGCCCTGCAAACAGGCACAACATCTGACACAAAAAGAAGCTTCCCAAACATGTGAGGATCCTTTATTTTTCACGCTGGTTGTGTAACTTCCCTCGAGGGAAAGCTTGGCACTAGGACTACGTGTGTGCAATTTCCCCTTAGATTCAATGAACCAACTTTGATGCAAAAAGCGCTGAATACAGAAGTGATGAACGCTCTGGTTGTTACCCTTAGCCAACAGAAGTAGGGCCAGAGAAGGCCAAAACTCGACCTGAGAACTGAATACAGAATAAGTGATTGGACTAATAGAAACTACGAGCCAGGAGAAAGCTCTGTAGCAGCTCCATGTAAGCAACATCCAACTTCCTTACTGGCAAAACTGGGCTTTTGCGAGGAGGAGGAGTTACAAAAGAAATCTCTGCAGAGGAGGAGAATAGAAACTGCAAGTAGTGTAAGTACAGCCCTATGACACCTGCAGGACACAAAGCCATCCAGAGAGACCTAGACAGGCTCAAGCAGTGGGCCCAGGCAAACTTCATCAAGTTCAACAAAGCCAAGTGCAAGGTCTCACACCTGGGTGGATGCCACCCCACTATCAATACAAGCTGAGGAACAAAAGGACTGAGCAAAGCCCTACGTGGGGGTACTGGTGGATGGCAAGCTGGGCACGAGCCAGCAATGTGCCCTTGCAGCCCTGAAAGCCAACCATATCCTGGGCTGTATGGCCAGCAGGTCAGGGGAGGTGATCCTGGCCCTCTACATTGCGCTGGTGAGGCCACACCTGGAGCACTGCATCCAGACGTGGACCTGTTACAGCAGGTTACCAGGTCCATAGGAAGGCCACAGAAATGATCCAAGGGATGGAACACCTTGACAGAGTTGGGGCAGTTCAGCCTAGAAAAGAGAAGGCTTCAGGGAGACCTGAGAGCAGCCATTCAATATCTAAACAGGGGCCATAAGAAAGAAGGGGACATACAATTTAGGAAGTTCTGTGGTGATAGGACAAGGGAAAATGGTTTCAAACTAAAAGAGAAGAGGTTTAGATTGAACTCAAGAGATTTTTTTATGATAAAGTTAGTGAAATACTGGAACAGATTGCCTAGAGAGATGGTGGATGCTCCATCCCTGGAGACATTCGAGGTCAGGCTGGACAGGTCTCTGAGCAACCCAATCTGGCTGTGTATGTCCCTGTTCATTGCTGGAGAGTTGGGCCAGATGACCTTTAAAAGTCCCTTCCAACTCAAACAATTATGACTCTAAGAGCTGTTAGGCCCCAGGGACATGAGGGCTGAGATGGGCGGTGTGAGGTCTATGTGCTGGGGGGAGCCCTAACTCCTCACCACAAGGTGAGAAAGGCCAACTCATAGAAGCTAGCAGCCAACAGCTGCTATCACTGGCTCCACTGCTACATCCACTTCACAGACTATTGCTAGCAGGCTCCTACACGCTAGAGTTTGTTCTTACAAGGAGTCAAGTGATTTGGCAAGACGCTTCTGAGGCCAAGCAGGCTAGAGTCCAGTTACAGAGTTTACCAAGTCTATTCCATTTTTCCTCATTCTATTTGTCACACACAGCGTCTGAACTATGTACTAACACGTTTACAAATCTGTCTTCTCTAGCATTTGAGCTCCAGACACCGTGACTGTCAGGGTCTGCCAGGGGAACGGCAGATGCCCCGTACTGTGCCTGTAAACACGAGGCCACCCCCTATATGACAGAACAGAACGTAGCTTTGATAAGAACATGCAGAAAAAAATCACAGAACCCACATCATGTAGCAGTTAATCCCCAAGAGGCCTGCTCTCCTTGTGACCGACTGCTGGGGGCCAGCAGCAGCACTGACCCACGGGCATATGGAATCCATACACTGCTACAAAAGGCTTCTAGAAAGGCGAGGCTCCCACTGAGGGATTTGGAAGGCATAAGGAAACATTCATCCGCCGAAAGCTGAAGTCCCTCGGCATTCAAGTAAACGCTTCACCAAGGACGGCCCAACGACAGCTCGTCGGTCGCTACAGACACTACAATCACTGAGTAACGGCACTCGGGCATCCCACCCGCACTCGTACGGCAGCCCAGCGCCCGCTTCCTCCCTGCACCCCCAGCGCCCCCACACGAATCGGCTCAGTAAGCTGACTCAAGCTACGCAACTTTATTTTTCGCACCAGGCCGCGCTTTGCGCCTCGGCTGGCCGCCGGCACACCCCCACCCCGCGCCGGCCCTGCTCGGACGGCGCTCCACACCGCCGCCGCCAGACGAGGCCCGCCCGCTCCCGCGTCGGCCCGGGCCCGGCCTCCCTCCCCGCCTCGCGCCCCCCCGCGCCACCGAAGGACACCGACGCGGCCCCCCCGAGCCCGCAGCTTTCCCGCCCCGCTCGACACGCGCCCGGGCTCGCGGCCTGCCCCTGCCCCCGCCGCCCGGCGCTTACCGGTGAAGCGGCGGTCGCGCCGCCCCCTCTTCTGCCTCCTTCCCTCCCCCGGGCAGCGGTTGAGAAGCGGCGGCGCCGCCCCCTCCCGGCCCCGCGGCGGCGGAACGGGCGCTTCAATCTCCCGCGGCGGCCGCGTCGCTGCCCGATGATGCGCCCGCTGCCAGCCCCGCGCCGGCCTCGCCCTCTCGCCTTCACCGCCTCTCATCACTCCCCGCCGCACGCGCGCGCCCGCCCACCCCGCTCCCGCCTTCCCTCAACCCCCCCCCCCGCAGCGCCGTTGGTTTGTCCCATCGGCCGCACCTGCGCGAGCGCCTGCGGCTCGTACCATCGGCCGCGTAGGGGAGAGAGAAGGCGGCCGGCGAGCGATGAGGCGCCGTGCGGGGGAGCGGCGGTCGCGCTACCGGACTCCTCCACCGGGCGGCTTCGGGGAGCCACGCCGCGCCGAGGAGAGCGGCGTCCCCCTGCGAGGTACGCAGTGGTACAGCCCAGCGCTGCCCGCCCCGCCTCAGCTCCCGCCATGTCGCTGAGGGCGCCCCGCGCTGCTGGGGCGGGAGCTGTGCGGAGGGCGCAGCCTGTGCTGGGGTCCCGCTGTGAGGGCTCGTGTGGGCGCAGCCCCGCGGCCCTGTGTGAGACTTCAGCTTCTTCCTGCTTTGGCTGTGGTATTTATTGAAGCGGTTCCCGCTCTCCTGTCAGGACTCGTTGCAGGTTGTGGGATGCAGCAGGGAATGTTTTAAAGAGAGGTTTTTTGAATGAGAGCTTTCTGCAGGTAACTTTCTTTTTTTCCTGTGGGTTAACAGCCCAGGGGGAAACAGACATTCTGGTGACATCAAGCAAACAAACAGAAAAGACCAAATAAATATTGAAAGCTGTCTGGTGTAAATACTAATGATGGTGATGAAGCCTGGTGCTTAAGGACAATTAAAAATTAAAGCATGGGCCGGTTACAAAAAAAAAAACCTTCCCAGGTTGCTTCTTGGCTAAGCTGTCAATTATGAGGTTTATTTTTCCTCATCTGAAGGTGCAAATCACTGTGTTAAAGAAGTTGACAAATGAGCAGTGCTTTGAAGACAGTAGGCTAAAAAAGCAGCCCAGGTTAAGCTGGCTGTTACTGCCCAGGCTCAGGTTCCTGAAATCCCAGCTCAGTACCTGTTGAAGCTGGTAGTGCCTCTGTGCTGTTGTGTTGGCATGCAGGTTCCTACAGAGGAATAGTGGAACATGGTGAGAGCAATGCTCTGGCTAACAGCTAACCCTCCCTCACACCAAGCCCTGCAATATTTCGCTGTGGGATAAGGTCTTCAGGCTGCATTGTTGTGCACTTACCACACAAACAACAACACAGTAGAGTGTGGAAAGAATACAAGATGACAGGTTTTGTCTGGTGTAGTGCCAAGCCAGATCCTTGTCAGCCTTCTGCCTGAGAGACCAAAAATGTGAAAGAGTTATCCCAAACCCATTGTGCCAATCCTAAACTGCCAAGTTTTACTTATAACATTTGGTGATACTATTGTTTCCCATGAGATATATACATCAACTCATTGCTCAGTGAGATTGTGGATGCCCCCTCCCTGGAAGCATTCAAGGCCAGGCTGGATGGGGGCTGTGAGTAATCTGGTCTACAGAGAGGTGTCCTTGCCTATGGCAGGGGAATTGGAACTAGATGATCTTAAAGGTTTCTTCCAACCATTCTATGATTCTGATAAGTTAGGATTACTTGGAGACTTCTGTGAATGTTTTTACAATTTCTTACCAAAGGTGTGTTTATACTCCTACCTCAAAAACAGTTAAGTCCTTCATTTAGAAGCTCTGAAAAAAAAATATAAATTAATTAAAAATAGTGGACACTGTTACCTACCCACTATCATTGGTAAAAGAAATAACATTACTTCTGTTGATACCAGAGATTGTGTAAATAGTTCAGTCCAATATTTAGTTGTCAATAGGAAGATCAGGCCTAAATATGGAAGGGTCAGAGTATCTTCCACATAAACCATTTTCTTTAAGGTTCTGTGTGTAGACTTTTTTCTTCTGCTGATGAAAAATAAGCCCAGATTTCATGTCTCACAGAATAGTAATGTAATAATAGCTAGTAAAACATGTAGCAACAGTTGCATTACTCCTGTTTATAGCTGACTGCATCTTTGTGCTTCATGCACAAGTGAAAGAGCATATGGTCTCAGTACTACATCCCTACTATTAAATCTCAGGGGACTACAGAAACACAGCCTATTTGAGTTTGAAATTGTTCTCCAAAAATATAGTAATCCTATCACCTTTTGTCTTCTCCATAGTTTTGGAGAAGGCTAGAAACCAGGACTGTTATTTTGACTGCTTTGATTCCATGTAGATTTGATACCATATCAGATTCAAGATGCTTAGCATTTTATGTTAGCAGTCTTTAAACAACGGACTGTCAATAGCACAGTCAATAGCTTGATATCTTAGCACAGTAGAGAAAGTAACAGAAGGGTTTGAGTTCATGAAATTATTTCCTGTGAGAGTAATAAATTAGTGCTCTCCTGCATGAGGAGATAAAAGGGCTACATGCAACATGTAGTCACACTTCTTTAACTCATTACCAGAATTATTTTTGATAGTACTGAAGTGAATGCATTCTGAGACTGGCTAGAATATCTCACTGCAGCTTTTACCTTTTTTCCTTCTTTGGATTTCTTGGTGGTAAAAGCTGTTACTCCTACCCTCAAGGAATAGTTTTTCATTGAAATGTCTTTAAGATGTTAATCTGAGGTCATTTGTTTGCTTAGTCAAGAAATATTGAGAGTTGAGGCAATAAAAGCCATGTAAGGCTTTGGGAGTAGCAAATAGATGCAGTCTGAGCGTAGCTCATCTTGGTGCAGCATAAGTATCTGTATAATCAACAAGTATACAGGTGTATAATTGACAAATATACAGGGAAGTTAGGCTGGTCTTTAGAGAGCTGGAAAGATTACTATGTTAAAAAAGGATAATCAGAAATGAATGGAAAAGCTTACCTGTGTTCTGGGCTCATAGGAAAAACCCCAAGAAGAGCAATCTCTAGGGAGAGAACCTTCCTCAGTGGCAGTCAGCCCTTAAATGGGGTCTAGGAGAGGTGCAGCCAGGCTCCACCTCCTTTTTTTTTTTTTCACACAGGTGAATTGCCTTCACCTGTGCTCCCAGGGCTGACCCATTGCTTGCCTCAGGTGATCAATCAGAGGTTCAGGCCGTGATTCAATAGTTCCCACACAGTACCGAATCCTGTTTTTTCACCGTTTCGTGTCTTCTGCCTTTCTGTTATCCCTACCCTCTTCCTGCCATGATAGTAGCACAAGCTTGACATGCCCCTGTTATGTGCTCATCTGTGACACCAAAGTGCCAGCAGGTATCATGTGGGATTCTGAAAAATGGTCTGTTTGTGCTGAAGAGCTTGGCATGTGCTCGTCATCCAGCCAAAAGATCAAACAGGAGAGATCACTCATTTTTTCAAAGGGGCCAATAATCTGGGTTGTTATCAAAAAAAGTTTTATTAACATATGGAATTATACTTGTAGTAGAAGAATTTAATTGTATGATCACTCAGTCTTTCAAGATATTATTTTGTCCTTCCTGATGTTTTGGGAGTTTTTCCTCATAGATGGAAATAATAATTTAAAAAATACATATAATTTCTTTTAATCTCTTACTCCGTTTTTTCAGTTTAAATGAATGAACTAGTTGAAGAAATAGAAATGAAGAAAATATTGCCACTTTGCTTGCAGGAAAAAGATACTCATCAAAAGCTTCAGCAAACTGAGCTTGAATATTCTGCTGCTTGACTTTTCTTAGAGCTTGAACAGAAAGTCCATATTGCCTAATAATGCTACTTTTGTAGTGTTTGCCTTTCTAAGGCAATTTTTTTTTTATTTTATTACAAATTAACCAATCTGACTGATTCTGCCATTATTTTATTGCAGGGGCATGGAGGAGTTACCAGGGAAGAAATATTTTTTAGCCTTATGCTTAAACTGAACACAACATCAGGAACTTCTGGAACCAGGTGTGTTTTTCTTCATGTTTAAGAAGGCCAGAGATGATTTGGGGAGCCTGTCTTTTTGCAAAGCTGGAAAAAAATAACAGTTAATAATAATAAAAAATCTATTATTTCTATAGAATATTCATTCTTGGACTTCTGTGTTTTGAAATAAGCAGCAGTTCATACTGCTGACAGCTTTCCTTGAGTAAGTGCAAGAGCAATGACATTACATAATATAAATAACATTTGGATAAATCACATTACTAATAAAGCTGTAGTGCTAAATAAATAATTTTTAAAAAATCGTACAAAAAGATATGAACCTTGAACGAGGTAACCTTGATGCATAAGAACTCTTTTTTTTCTCCAGCTAAAGCTCTGTGGTGCCTATACTATGAGAGAATGTACGCAGCAGTAGCTGTAGCAGTACAGTATTCTTTGTGCTTGTGTGACAGTATAGTGTAGTACAGCTTATTAGCCTTTGGGTGGCAATAGCTCCTTAAACATTTTAGCTTTTTCTTTTCTAGCGTGTTCAAGTGTGAGAAAATGGAAAAGAAACATAGCAATAACTCCTGAACCAATATTTTGCAGAAGGGAACGCAGTCAGTATGCTCAAAGCATGCTGGCTTCAGTCCACCTCCCCACCCCCTAAGAAAAAGAAAAAAAAAAAAAAAAAGAAATATTGACTGAAAGCATAAAGAATGCAACCCAGCTCCAGAAGACAGGGCTGAGAAACATCGAGTTCTGAGCTTTGTTTGTCCCCAGGCTTGTACTGAAACAGCTCTGAGGTGTAAATAAAGCAGCAGGGGTTTGTCAGGTTATTTTTCCTATCTATTCTGCTTCTGCCAGCTGTGTGCAGGCACAGAAATACCCAGATTTCTTGGCTGGATGCCGTGAGTGGGTCTTTTGTATGCTGAAGTTATACATCAGTGGCTCCCTGTGCTGTGGTTAACTCTAATTTTACTGTAAATGTGTAAAGTGACAGTACTGCAGTAAGGAGTAGTGTTTAAGATTCTGAAAAGAAGTGTAATTTACAAGCACACTCTTTGCTGAAAATGCTGTGTGTTCCTGGGATGAAATTCATGTGAATTCTGTGAAAAAAATGGTATTAATTTAGCTGATGATGAACAATACTGGGGCATTTAAACTGTGCATGGTTCCAGTCCATAATATTTTCACTGATATGCTGAATTAACTGATTGAGTATTAATGGAAAAGGAGAATAATTAAGTATGGCTGCCATATTTAGCAATGTTCAGTTCCTCCTTAACTGCAGACCTTTTAAGGCTTTTTCATCTCAGTCTCGCAGCACCAAACTTTTTCAGCAAGTGCTGCTAGATCCATTTTGTATATGAGCCAACTGGAACATCAAAATTTGATGATATGCAGGAGGTACCCAGCGTACTTGAAAATGGAACCTGGGTGGATTACGGATCTCTCTTCTCGTGCCTTAATTATCAGATTTATTTTGCATTTACTATACATCTTTATATGGAATAGTGTTGCTATTTGCCATAAGTCTGATTAGAACAATGGAGTACCCTAAAATTGCTTTACAGGAAGTGCAGAAATCGACAAAACTCAGAAAATATTCGATGCTGGCAGAGCTTACTTTCTTGACTTAATGTCTCCTTTTGCATGCATGAAGCTTTGTCTCATAAGCTACCACTCCATGGGTTTGCAATGCTTTTTTGTTGTTGTCATTTGTGTTTGTTTATTTTTTTCTTTCTGAAATCACTGTGGTTGTGTCTGTTTGTGAAGTCTGAATTTTGTCTTCTAGTATCAAAGAGAGCCTTTAATAACCAAGTAGATACCAGAATGTATTTTGTGCTGGCATTTAGTTCAACATTGCATTTGAGTAGGCATTCAGTGCAGCTGCTTGTCAGTCTGACTTAGTAAGGCTTCTAAAGGAATGTCTTGTTCTCATGCCATATTTGTCGTGCTCTTTTTTTGTAATGTATTTACTTTGGAGAACTGAACCAGATTTAAGCATCTGTTTCTCAATGAGGTTTTGTGTGTGTGTGTGTTTTGACCCTGTATTACAGACTGGTTTCATTACAGAACACAAGAGTTAAGTGATTAGCCCAAGGTGACTCAGTGAATCATTCAGCCTTCCCAAAATGCTGAAGTCTTCTGGCCCCTTGTCTTTTAAGCTAGTCTAGCTTCGAAATCATTTTGGCTCCCAAATTAAACAGAACTTGAGAACTTGGAGTCACTTTTCTTTCTGTCTTATTGCCTATCTCATGTGGGAAAATATCTGTGAAACTCTTGCTGAGGAATCTTACAATTTTTTTTGAATAAAATGAAATAAAGCTTTTTGCATGAAATAGGTTTCTATCTGTTGCCGTTATTTCATAGAGAATACAAATACATGAGATTAAGCACATCCTACTGCAATGAAGCAGGAGTATAAGGTGAGGTTGAATGTGATCTACCCAGCAGGAAACAGATGCTGTTGAATAAGTAGGTACAGTAATATAAATCTGCTATAGCCAGTACTAAAAGGCAGGGGGAAATTATCCTAGAAAAGTATGGGTTTTTTTCTGTAGTGATTCTAAAAACATTTCCAGTTACTCAGAGTTTTTCTCCTATTAAAAATATGACCTATATTACAAGGATGCTTTCTCTGTACCTATTTTCTTAGTTCTTTCTTTGGAGGCAGTGAGCGGGGAAAGCATTTTTAGAATAATCTCTTGTTAGACTGACATAGTGAGAAAAAACTGCTGTAGTTCAAAGCATAGGTGTTAGCAGTGGAAAGGCTTGTTTGTTCAGTACTTTTTCTGTATTCGTCACTGTGTTATCTGGTTTAATAGTTCTTTTTTTAAAAAAACTTCCCTTTCATTTTCCATTTTCCTGTCCATCCCTATTTATTTTTACTCTTATGAAAATAAATGGAGTCAAAATAAGGAATTGAATGAAGTTGGATTTTAAAAAAAGTTAAAAACTTTTTTGATTTGTTTTTTAACTTGCACAATTTTTGTTGTTGTTATTCACTTTTAGGAGAAGGAGATAACTTCTAATAGCAAAATATTACTTAAAAGGGAACAATTTTTTTGTCTGACATGAATTTACATGCACCATTTGTTTGACAGAAGATATGCACCTGTAGCAGAAATGCTAAGTCAGGGCCTGAAGCAGTGATTGAGTACCTGTTGGAAAGGCATGGCCAACCCAGAGGAGCTCAGGTGCATGCAATGTACCTGAGTGACTGGGAGAGGTGGAGCCAGGATCCACCCCTTCCCAGACCTCATTTAAGGGCTGGTAGTGAGTGGTAAGGGTATTTTGCTGGAGATTCCTCTGTACCTGAAGTCTTCTGAAGGTAAGCAGCTTTTTTCCTTGGTTTCTATGCTCATAGCTGTTGTGTTTGAACATATTCTCACTTGCTGTAGTTTAGGGCGTCACTGCTCTGCTGTTATTTCTGTGTTTTCTATCATGTTACAGTACCTTATGTCAAAAATGATCTTATACTTGTGTATCTTTTAAAAGATACATATTGTAGTTTGTTTAATAAGTCTGTAAACAAAATACTTGTGCCTTTCAGTTATGCCTTTTGCAATGTATTATTTGTAGCTGATGTAGAGGTACTTTATCTGTATTCAATTACTTTTGACTTCCTTAACTCAAAAAATATTTTATGTGAATGTTTTTTCAAATAAAAACTTTTCTTAATTTGCTAATAAGATGAAGTTAAAGATATACATGCCTAGCAAAAAATAACTTGAGTCAAAATCTAAATATGAATATACTCTCCTAAACTGCAGGAAATCAATATTTAAATACTGGTGTCTTGCACTAATGCGAGTGGACCAATACACCTGTTGTATTATCAACTATTCCAGGATTATCGTTCTTGCTTGAATAGGCTCTTCTGTAACAAAGAATGGTTTTATTTCAAATCAGTCTTTTTACAGAATAGAATTAATCATCAGTGATTGGGTTATTATATGCTAAAATACATCACTTATCCAAAAAGAGTTGATTAAGCCAAACAGAAGCTTTATAACAAGTATTCTGGTATTCTTGATTTCCCTGACATAGCTAGAGTCAGATGCTAACATCTTGAAGA